TTGCTCTTCTATCAGCTTGAATCAGTCGGCCCATTCTCCTCTGACCTCTAGCATCAACAAGGCATTTTCGCCCACAGGACTGCCGCATACTGGATGTTTTTCCCTTTTCACACCATTCTTTGTAAGCCCTAGAAATGGTTGTGCGTGAAAATCCCAGTAACTGAGCAGATTGTGAAACACTCAGACCGGCCCGTCTGGCACCAACAACCAAGCCACGCTCAAAATTGCTTAAATCACCTTTCTTTCCATTCTGACATTCAGTTTGGAGTTCAGGAGATTGTCTTGACCAGGACCACACCCCTAAATGCATTGAAGCAACTGCCATGTGATTGGTTGATTAGATAATTGCATTAATGAGAAATTGAACAGGTGTTCCTAATCCTTTAGGTTAGTGTATAGCCTATTCAGATTTTTCTATAAGCCACCAGTTCCCAAAACACTACAATGGCTACACAACTGAAGTACTAAAGCCACATATGTGAAGTGGCTTATCTAGCATCATTATTTTGACTTTTCTATCAGAAAAATAAAGTAAGTTCCAACAGAACTACCTTTTCACATAATAAAATGTGAAGAAATGCACTAACGCTAAGCCACCACTAGTTGGTGGAGCGCTTTACTTCAAAACGGGTTTGTTAGCGCCTACAATTGATGGCAAGCATGGAGCTCAAAGAAAATATGTTCTACATTATTAATACAAAAAAATAGAATATGCAATACTAGTTAGTTAACAACTTTAAAGCTTTTGATGCATGGTATTGTTCATGTTACAGATATCTAACTGGATGTCTGACAGACCATACAAGCAATATTCTTATACTATCAAATTAAAGTGATTTTCACGCTCTTGTTACATATGATAAAATCAGTTCATACTTTTACATTTGAATATAAGAAATATGTCATATATGAACTAATTGTACTATTTGAATTTGTGCAGCAAACCCAAGTGAAGATATTTGTATATTTTCAGATGTTGCATGAACCATTTCTCTGGCTGCAGCTTTATTGCAAAATGTGCGTGTGTAAGTGTTACTAGCAATCTTTTAGAAGCAACACAATAAAATCCTACAAACAATAGGCATGTGCATAAACATACCACATAGTCACAGTGCAAATTGATGTGCATATATTTTGTGCATTCATGTTTTGTGTGTGCATACAATATGTGTTATTATGTGCAATAACAATTGCAGGAAGAAAATAAATAACAACAACAATGTCCAGAAATCAATTATTCCTAATTACAGTATTGTTATACCCCAAATTATTCGCATCAGTGAACTAATACATAGATTTGTGTTCTTTATTGGTCGAATGGTAGAATTTTAATAGATATAATGCGAATTATGAAACTGCATTGAGCTCACAATGAATCATTGTTTCTTATGAATGCAGTCTCTCAAAAACAGTCTGAAATGAAGGCCATATTAAAAACAGTCTGAAATGAAGGCCATATTTACTTTTATGCATGTTAGGGTGAATCGGTTCAAGAATTAGGTCAAGGCCGTATAGCTTGCAAGATTACCGTTAACTAAAGCGCACTTTTTTTTCTTTTTTTTTGCCCAGTGAAACATTGAGGGCAAAACGATCAGGCAGGAGGCATATTGACTGCATGAGTGTGTTGACTGCATGCATGTTGTTCCTCCTCAGACACAGTTGGTGCAGGCAATGGGCCAAACTGGGAGTGTGCTGCTGACTCAGCCACCAATGGTGCATTCATTTATCTGCACTGCAGTGCTCCGCCGCACCCTCTTCTCTCCTCTCTGTCTTCCCCGCCTCGCATACTGAAACGGGGGGTGGTGAGACAGACATTTTAAGATAAACACCAGGTCCTTACCATGAATGGCTGTGGCACCGATGGGTGGGGGTGGGATATCGTGCTTCGTAAGGTTTGGCGATACACGTAGGCTAAAGGAGGAGGAGGGGAGCAAGAGAACAAGCCTGGTGACTTGCAGAAAGAGAGCAGGGACAGAATCCTGCTCAGCTGTGAAATGGAGGCGAGGAAGAGGTAGATTCATTAATGTTCGCGCTAGCTTCTGTCTCTTTTGTTCTAATTTTAGATATTTTCATTTCTACCGTCTTATTTTAAAGGCAACAGAAACCAAAAATTTAACTTCTGACTGACCTTCTTCCACGGAACATAATTTTATGAAGAACATCCAGATTCCCCAGAGCAGCCTAAACGAGGACTGGTGCGGTCAAGCTCCAAAATGACACACACAAAAAAGTGTGATCCACCTGATTCAAGCATTATTCACAAAACCATACTTTTTTTTTTTTTTTTTTTTTTATTCGTTATTTAATGAAGGGGTAAAAAATTTAGTTCATATAAGGCAATGAGCCCTTAGGGACATGGTGAAGAACAAAATTATATACAATTATTATTATTTTTTTAATTATTTGGATAAACTATAGATAAACTTGGGACATTGGTCAGTGGTTCTCAACCATTTGACTCCAAGGCCCCCTGTCCACAACAATATTCAAAGGCCCTGATGATTTTTTCCAGTCGTTCTTAAACTACTGGATAAGGATTAAGGATAAGAAGTCCTCTTGAGGCCCCCTGAGTTCCATTCATTCATAAATCTGACAAATTCGGTTCTCAAGATCAAGTCACGGGCAAGATTATGAGTGAAGAGTGACTTATATTTCAGTTGGTTTCTCAAAAGCTTTTTTATGGCTTATGGTTTGAAATAGAGTACACATGTCATTTGGACAACATTTATGATGCTTTTGTGGGGTTTTTTTTTGGAAGCGTAAAGGCTTCAGTCCCCAATTCCATGGAAAAAAATGACATACATTATTAGAATTTTTCTCCTTTCGGGTAACACAGAGAAAAGTAACATAAGGTCAAGTAAATTATAACTCTATTTTCATTATTGGCTGAACTAATCCTTTAACCAATGCTATACTGGTAAAAGTGCAAATCAATTCAACCAAGAGCTAGTGGTCGGGATGCACTCCCCCTGAGGTTATTCAGATGAGTGTCATTGATACTTAAGCTCACAGCTATAGCTTTCTATTGATCTCTCTGCTAAACCATGACTTACTAGATGAGCAGAGGAGCATTTCTTGCCATAATCTGCAGTGACGCCGATAGAAGCAGATCCTATCTCAGACTTATTTGAAAGACAAACTCAATGATCTCAAAATTCTCACAAAATGAAGGGTTTGAGATCACTTTCTTCTGCAGAACACAAAAGATTTTCGAAAAATGTTAAGGATGTATTTAAAAAAAAAGATTTTATTGTGATCCACAGAAGAAATAAATTCATACAGGATTGGAACAAAATGAGAAGTAATTGAAGACCAAATTATCAATTATAAAAGAATAAAATTATCAGTAAAGCATGCATTAATAGTTTTATGGAGGGCTAGTCATGAGTGTAGCAGATTAAGATTTCCTGATGTCATATGGGCACTAAATGTGTCTGTCTTCTCAATCACGTTCAACAAAATCAGTGACGACTCTGTGCAACTGGAAGGCTGCTTTATTGTTAAAAAGTTTCGTGCTCAAATTAAGACAATCTTTTATATGTTCTTACTAAGAGTTCCAGTGGTTGTGCCATACACACCAACTATATGTCCTCCTACAACACTGTGTCAAACAAAACAACAGTTTGAAAAGCACTTTTGAAATCTTTTCAGCAAAATGGAAAGCATTTTAGTCATGCTAAAAATGGAAGTCCAGTAACTGAATATCGATACAAAAGTGAGTTTCAAAGATGGAAAGAACATAAAAGTCTGAAGGCAAGCTATACTTTTTTTTCTTTTCTTTTTTTTTACAAGCCAAGTGGATGATACACAAAGTACAGAAAACAAAACATCAGAAGATTTCGTAACATCAAATCTGGAAGAAGTGGGCTTGTTTTCTTGGTTGGTTTCAGTGTTCCTCTGGCATTACACCAGACGCCTTGTTCAGACTATAGTCCCTGATTTGCATTGTGCTCCATTTTGCATTCTCCTGTCTTTCCCCCACCATCAACTAAATGTTAAATATGGCATCATCCTCCAAAATTGCAGTGAAATGCAATCCAGAAAATGTAGGAACATGGAGAAAATGTAGAAAAAGGCACACGACAATTAGTGAAGTAGCACTAGAAACAGACCACTGAACACATAAAAACCGGATACGAAATGCATACAAAACTGTTGTTCAGGCCCACGAGTACCGGCACTGAAGTGTTCGGGGAGGCCTTTAGAGTAGAATACATGAACTGCTCTGTGACTGTTTTAGACTTTCAGGCTCGGGTGGGTGACCACACAATGTCCATAGGCAGGACGACGCATATATGTGCATTCACGTGTAAATGTGTTTGTGTATGTCTATAAAACCTCAAGGTTACAGAGATGTGCTGGTTGCATAACCCTCTCGTCATACAGTATCAGATTAAAACATCCAAGCAGCGCTGATAACAATCGTGCGCGAGTTCGTCTCCAACATAATTTTTTTTCTACATCCACTGGACACGTTGCATATAAATGAAATATTACAGTGCTCATTTGTATATCCTTTCATATGTATATCCTGTCAAAAGTTTGGAAACTAATTTTTTTTATGTTTTGAAAGAAGTCTCTTATGCTCACCAAGGCTGCATTTATTTAATCAAAAATACAGTAAAAAGAGTCATATTGTGAAATATTATTACAATTTAAAATAATTGTTTTCTATTTTAATTATTAAAAACAAAATTTTTGAGCACCAAATCAGCATATTAGAATGATTTCTGAAGGATCATGCGACACCGAAGACTGAAGTAATGATGGTGACAGGAAAACATGACATTTTAAAAAGTATTCAAAAGAAAACAGTTCTTTTAATTTGTAATATTTTGCTATATTACTGCTTTTACTGTATTTTGGATTTCCAAACTTTTGACAGGTACTGTATATTCTTTGTCTAAAAGAGTATTCTTGATACATTATATCATTCAGTTCCCTTTATCAAAAGTGAAATGTGTTAGAAAAACAAAAAATTAAAATATGTGACAAGGGCATCAGCTGGAAGCCATTCTATATCATTGTTATAATTTATTATTAGAGTAATAGCAGTAATTCTTTAAAATTCTGTATTTACAAAACCCACAACAAAGCATGCCATTTAAAAGAAAATAATATATTACAATGCTTATAGTTTTCCTCAAAAAGTTCATTCTTTTCAGCAATTGTGCCATGTACATCATAGCCCCCTCCTGTACATTGAATGATACATTAACTTGTCATACAGTGAGTGAGAGTGATTTTTCATTTCACGTCTGAACTAAAATGGGAGTTGGGGGAAACTACATGGTAGTCTAAGTGTTTCACCAGGCTTCATTTGGTATAAGTCCACAGCACCCATGCTGATTTAGAGATCTCAGGCAGTAAGCAGACCAACAGGTCTAAGAAGTAGAGGAAGTGGGTTTGTAAACTGGTACTTTCTCCAGCACTCTGGCTCTGGTGGCGTACGTCTACTGACCCAGCAGTTTGAGATGTCCTATGATCTTTCATAAACCTATACCTACAGTTTATATCAGCATTGTATTATGTTGTCTGTGGTCCACCGTAACACCTTATACTGGGCTAGCCCACACCAGAATAAGCATTCATTCCTACCGAACAGAAGAGGTAATGAAACTCAAATTACTGTAAACGTTAGAATTACTGTTGCAAATTGAATCAATTTCCATTGCACCCAGAGCAAGAAAGGATGGCAGTTTGCTCAAGAGGTAGCAACATAGGTAAAAAAAGCCAATTTGTAGTATCACCATCATAAACTGCATGCTATCAGACAACACAAGTACTCATCACTTCATTCTAAAACTGTCGCCTGCTTTGTTTTCCTGCTGTGTAAGGCCAGTTTTACGTGTATAATCCGAGCTATACCAAATGCTCATGAGTCACTTTTTCATTCAACAAGGAGAAAGCTATTAACATCTACAGGATGCATTAAAAATGGCTACTCGAGTGCTTTCCTCAACATCTTTAAGACAAAACAAGATGCTAACACAACTGACAACCCCTTTAAATGGTAAACATGAGGATGTGCTGACATGAAGACAAGTACCTCCAGGAAAATCGAAGAGATTGCCTCCCACTGAGGTCTGACAAAGCATTGTAAGGGTTAAAATGGCATGTACCTTATGGCTATACCTTTTGAAGATCTATTGAAGGCCCAACTAGAGCCTCAGCTGCACATTGAGGGGCAGTTGAATTATATTGCTGGTGTAAAAAAACAAATCAAGGTTTATGAACCCAAGATTTGATTAGAGTTAAATCGTTTCTCCAAATTTTCCTCCCAACTTCTCAAGTCCAGGGCAGTGAAACACCTCTATGGGTGGAATGTGCAGTTGCCACACTGTATATCCAAACGAATGAATAGCTTTGATCGGCCACCTTAAAATACACACATGACGCATGGTGTGAGAACCGGTTAATCAGGAAGTAAGCTTTACGAGGGGTAAGTATAAATATACTTGTCATAGCCAGTAGTTAAATATGTTGCTATTGACCAATCATTTCCCAGCTATATCTATTTAATTTGATTACTAGTGGACAGTATCGAAAGTATGGTCAAGCCACTGATGTGGTTTGAGTAGTAGTGTCAAGTGGACTATGATTATACATGCATGATTCCTGATCAAAACATGCCACCATGCAAATCATTTCTATGCATTGAACGAGCACAATTAATTATTTATTTACCAGGAACTCGGTCTGAGTAAGTACCTTTCAGCCCAAGTCAAAACCCTGATAATCCCCAACCCATTATCGATGTGAAAGCCCATGTATAAAATGTCTTTTTTTTCCTGTAAGTATAACAAAGAGATGATGACGAGGTGAATGACATGGGCTGAACTTTTTCCCTCATTTTTGTGGGTCAAATAAGGTGAGATATTCATCACAACAACGGAAAACCCTTGCATATTGTTCTGGTTTTTTTTCTGCGGACACTCCACATGATTGATTTAACATCGTTATTACTGGTTCACCTATGGTTAAAATACAACACCCCAGAATCCTCCTGGGATGAGCGGAGGTTTCCGTCGGATTTCGGCAGTGTAGTGTTTGAAAGGGATGTCCGTATCGGAGGAATGCTGAACTCCACACATGGTGGTGCAAAGGAATCCATCTAATGAGTTTACTTTGTACTGCTTCGTCCTTTGGCAGGTGGTCCCTATCAAAGATGTCTGCCATTGGTCATTATTTTATTTCTACTTGTAAGTGCCTTTTGGCTGCAGTTGGAACAGTAAAATCTTGGTCACTAAGCACAAATGTAAGACAGTAAGCTCATAGGTTGGTTTGGTCATCATCAAAGCTGTAAAAAACCAAGCTGCTTTCCTGTTGCACCGGTGCATTTGTTGTCTGTAAACAACCTTTTCCCCCAAAGATCTCTGTGTTTTTTGTTGCAAATGATTTTCTATACATTTGTTAGAACAGATAGTTTCAGTCTCGACTCCGGAGTTCGGTCTCCATCGTTCCTAACACTTAGATTCCTTGACATCTTTTTGGTTTTTGCCCTTTCTGTCACTCTCCTCCAACTTCTCCTTCTCAGGTTTGGTCACGCTGTCGTAGGACGGCAGCGAGGCAGTAGAAGGTGTGCTCTCTTTCTTTTCCCGATTGGTCCCGCCGTTCTCCAGCCTGCTGCTGCCGAGCAAGCGCTTGCAGATGAAGCCTCTCCGAATAAGATATGCCCGGTAAGAGCGCTGGATGACTGAGGCAGACATATGCTCCTGCTTGCGGCGCATAGTGGTGGTGATAGGCTCAAAAGACACTTTGGAAGGATTGGCAGCAATGAATCGCTCCTCCATCTGTTGCCGCATCATGTCCAGGTCGCCGCTATCCCCCAGCACACGCTTGGTGAAGGCAAACAAGATGTCTAGGCAGTGAATGCGGTCGCCGCTAACCATAGGCAGATCCATGGCGATCAACTCTATAGTGTTGGGCTTGGGAACGCGCAGCGGGTGCTCCAGAGTGTCAGCGAAATCACCCAGCTTGGCAAAGGTAATGAACTGGGAAGCAGTGGGGTCAAACTTTTCCCAAATCTCATAGAAGGACTCAAAGTCGTCCTCACAAAGTGGGTCAGCGCTCTCCTCTGTGGCGACGCTGAAGTTCTCCAGAATGATGGCGATGTACATGTTTACCACGATGAGAAACGAGACAATAATGTACATGACGAAGAAAAAGATGCCCACTGAAGGGTTTCCGCAGTTACCTTTCACCGTAGTACCTGGATTCTCCTTCTTCGGATCGCAATCCGGTGGGTAATTGAGAATGGGAGCGAGAAGGCCGTCCCATCCCGCTGAGGTGGTTATCATGAACAGACAGATCATACTATTCCCAAATGTTTCAAAGTTATACATGTCATCTATGCCAGCCTCCCGCTTCACATAGGCAAAGTTTGACATGCCAAAAATAGAAAAGATGAACATGACCAAGAACAGCAGAAGGCCGATATTGAACAGGGCCGGCAGTGACATCATCAGGGCAAACAGTAAAGTCCGAATGCCCTTTGCTCCTTTGATCAGACGCAAGATACGCCCAATTCGAGCCAGACGGATTACCCTGAACAATGTTGGAGACACAAAGTACTTCTCAATCAGGTCAGCCAAGAACATACCTGTAGTTTGGGTGATAAGAAACAAAGAGAAGAAGAGGACAAAATTAGCCAAAAAATAAAGTGATGTATTTCAAAGCGTAAATAAAAAAGCCCATGAAACATTGTTCACTTACCCACGATAGAGAGAATGACCACAACACAGTCAAATATGTTCCAGCCGTTGGTGAAGTAATAATGACGCAGTGCAAAGAGCTTCAGGACAAATTCAGAGGTGAAGGACACAATGAAGATGAAGTTAACCCAGTACAAAATGTTTTCGGTCTCTTGTGACTGATCATCAGTCTCAACCATCATGGTGACCATATTCAAACAGATGAGGATCATGATGGAAATATCAAAGACCTGCTGTGTCACAAAGTCAAACACCATCCCCTGAAGCTTGTTCTGAAGAAGAGAAAAAATAGCACAAATTAGGACTCTATTTGTGTCAAGTCAGTAGGCACAGTATCACTTTTTTACAGTAATGTACCTGGGGTCTGGGTATGGGTTTCTGTGGTTTCTTTGAGCCAAGCTTCTTCATAGCATTGTAGTACTTCTTCTGTTCCTCGGTCATGAATATATCCTGACCTCCAAAGTATAGTCATAAATAACATTTGGTTAAAATCTACTCAAAAAGCAAAAGTCAATGTGAAAACCACTTTTTAGAATGAGCAAATAGTTTAAAGTGAAGGTAAAAAGTGGACACTTATCTTTTTCTTTTGCTGGTTGAAGTTATCGATGATGACACCAATGAAGAGGTTGAGGGTGAAGAAAGAGCCGAATATAATAAAGATGACAAAATAGATGTACATGTAGATGTTGTCCTCATACTTCGGCTGGTCTCCCACCTGAGGAGAGAAATATATTTTAAACAGGTACTTTGATTCAGGTTGCAGTTAGGATTGCTCAAAAATCTCACCTTTCGAGAGTCAACTGCTGCGTACATGATGTCCATCCATCCTTTAAAGGTTGCCTTAGAGTTAGAAAGGGAAAGTTAATATCAGTGTTATATCAACACTATTTTTTTAGCCAGTGTACCATCTTACAAGAGACTAAAACACACTTACCACTTGTAGCAGAGCTAAGTAACCAGCGCCCACATTGTCAAAGTTGATTTTGACGTTCTTCCAGCGCACCTCAGTGAAGTTCTGTTGCATCAAATATAGGCAATCTGATTTGTTGTTGACCGTTTCGATATCGAAGTATGCCTTTTCCGTCTGGTTGTAGCAGTAGTAGTACTTCCCCGCAAACAGGTTGACACCCATGATACTGAAAATCAGCCAAAAGATGAGGCAAACCAGCAACACATTCATAATGGAAGGGATGGCACCCACCAAGGCGTTGACTACCACCTAGAGCAGAGTAGGGCAGACAAGGCGGTATAGTGTAAGAGATGGGAAATGGCCTAGCAAACACAGAAACACATTCAAACACTCACATTTGTGGCTGCATATTTGGATGGCACAACAAACAAAGAATGCCACTATGAACATTGCTCACGTTCAAATTTTTAACAAATTCTCTCTTTAATTCATGTTTCAGTCACATGGCCATCCAAGAAAACAGCTAACGGTATGATAAAAATGTTTTCAAGTTCTTGCTATAATTCTTTGCTTGACTTAAGCTGCTTTTTTGTTGTTTTCACACACAGGAGACAACTTCAGGTCAAGGGGTCTAAACTAAAAATAAAAGTATTACAGCAGACTTCAGCTGCAAGCAGTTTTTCATTGTGTTTGCAAGGAATTTAGCCTTGTTATACCAAAAGATCTCCCAATTCATTCCCAAAGTCATTTTTCAGAAAGTATGAAAGATGCTGTCATAAATGTATTGGTTGTTGGAATGTGTGGTTGGAGAAGAGGTTTGGGAAACCTGTCAGCACAAATAGCTTTAAACAAAAATTTTGTTTTTCTTGGGTGGCCTACGACCTTTACACAGTTAACATTATTTCTTTCATATACTAGTTTCAAGAAATCTTTTGAATCTCAAAAATAAGTGATTCTCTTTTCTGGTCCTGGACTACCCCAGCACTGCACAACATGGATAGATGTGTCCAAAATGACATACTAGATTTGATGAAGAACTTACAGAATTAACTTTTTTTTTAACAGTCGAGAAGTAAGTATTCAGGCGTGTTGTACGAATACAATCTTGACACACTACATCCAACATGCTGACACAGTTACGTGACCTAAGAGGCCACTGTAGAGGAGTAAAGTGTCAGACACACAATTCAGAATCTCTGTGGAAACAGCAGGTTATTTGGGTATTTTTCTCCTTTATTAATATATATTTTATGCATATTGAGACCTAAAAGTACTACCGGTACTAATAAAACGTGAGGTGCTGGGGTCTTCCAGGACCATGGCCCTAAATAGTAGCCATCTGACTTAGCAGTATATTTATAAAAATGAATGCGACACTTTCCATACAAATATGCCACCCAGACTCACACAACGACTTCTACATACCCAAAGCAAACATTTGCACCCTTAAAACTACAACCCACCACCCAACTACTTTAACGTAGCCATGGCAAGCTTGAGTAACATAAAACATTTTACATCAACCCATCCTCCCCGCACCCCTTTTGCCTCCACGTCCCTCCCCTCCCCCACCATCCCAGTCAGGACACTGTCCATCAGTGATTAGCAATGAGCAGAGCGTGTCAGGAGACGCTCACTAACTGTGTTAGGCAGCCGAGCCGCAGCTCTCAGGCAGGCAGCTGAGCATGCAGATCTCTCACATACTGAAAAGTGGAGCCATATTCCCCCCTTAAACACACAGAGAGGCACAAAGGACAGCAGGATTCTCTCAGCAAGTGCAAGGGACCAGTCTGACTTTAGCTGGTGCTTTTTTTGACTGCTGATTTGTTTTGCGTATTCAAAGAGAAATACAGGACAAGTAATAATGATAGACTAGGTAAGAATTTGGAGTGCTTAAGATTAAAGGAAAAGACCCCCAGGAAAAAGCACTTGTCAGGAGAATTACCGTCCATCTTTCAATAGAGACTACATGTTCAAATGTCACATAGACATAAAATATCTTTGTGAGAATCGACACAGATATTAAAGTGAGGGAAAATGGCTTTCAAAAGTGCATAATGTGGATTGGCAATTAAACAGGACATGCGTGTTACATGACATCTTTGTGCAATCTCAAGAACCGTTCAAATTAATAAATAAATGGACAGGAGAGGCAGCAGTGTGGAGAGATTTCTGCCATTTCAAAACTGGCTGGGGTTTGATAAATGTTTGTTAGGGTAGAATGATTGAATAAGGTCAATCGATTTCCAGTTAATCAAAACATACATCAAACAAGATTTATTTCCTAATATACTGGGTTGTTGTATCAGGTCAGAGAATTGGCTTTTAAAAATGGCAAACACTCCACAGTCTAAGCAGGTTTTTTCTCTTCAAAGTTGTGTCTCCTTGTCAAATCATTTATTAATTTTTAACTTTTTTTGTGCTAATTTCAAACAAAACAGCATATCAGTTGATGAACATTGATATCGACTATTCACTAGGGCAAGAACTCATTGTTCTCTCTGTACTTTGACTAATATGTTACTACAGGTTACATAAAATTTATTTCACACACCCTCATGAATCCAATTATAGGTACATAAACAGAACAAATTATGAAAACCATTTTGATTCACCCAAAAATGACAGTCTAATCTAAATACAATACTAAAGGTATTAAGAGATAGAAGACAGAAAGACAGACACAAAATAATTACAAAAAACTATCAAATAAAATGCCATAAAATGCTATAACAGTGCTCCAGAATAAAATAAAAATGACTAGGGAGCCACTGGCTCTTAAAATAAAACATTTTAAAAAAGCCAAAAATAAAGTAAAATATTTTTATTTTTTTATTATATAAGTAATAGTTCCTGGTTCATTTCTAATTGGATTGAAAAGGAATTGGGGTTCAGCAAGGGAACATATTGCCTGAATGATTCACTGACTGAGCAAGTCTGACTCAGACGACTAAATCACAAGCATGTTCGTGTCATGAATCTTAAACAAATTAAAATGAACTGCTTCACAAGAGTAATTTTTTCAAAGCGGGATGGACATCATGGTTTGCACTGTTCTTTGTGTACGATCTAACAAGAATATATCTGACAAAACCGCATATGGATGCAAACAAACTATCAACAATGGTGACTAGATTTTAGATTATTGGTCGCAAATATTTGACCATTTTAGTTGCAGTCTGGAGCCCTGTTAGTAGATTTATATATAAGTGCAAAAATAACATAAAATACAGCTTTAATTTTGATAACTGAGAAACCTTGTCTGTCATTTTTGGGTTCAGATATACCTTTTGTCATAACAGCAGTGTGAGATCACAGAATCTCTTTACTCTGATTACTTTACGCTTCACACTGTTTGAAAATAAAAACTACAGGCTTCACACTTGTTCTGAATTCCAAAGTCTTGCACATTTCCTAAGCTTCTGTGTTGGCTATTATAAAACCACTGATTATTAGTAACTTTTATAAATGCCCTAACTAATCAAATCTAAAAGACATCATCCACTCCACATTGCTAAAGGCTTCAAAGGGAAACCAGCTGGAAAATACAAATAGATACAGAAGCTTAGCAAATATATCCCCTCTTAGACTCAGGGTTTTTCTTTTTACAGTCCCATGTGCAGATCCTAGACAAGCAAAGAGGGGTGAGGTGTGCCTCCAGCGGATTGGCTCCTCAAACGCTGCTCTGGGCTGGGCAGCGCGGGGCCAGATGGGCTGAAGTGAACAGTGTGAAATGAAGGGAGGGAGGGAGGGAAGGGGGGGCTGCACGGTGCTGCAGATGAGGGGCAGGGAGGAGGTGAGGGTACAGAAGCTCAGGGCAACCAGTCCACAGGTAAGAGAAGAAAGACTGAAAGTGACAACAACCAGGTGCAACTGTTCACAACCATCAAGTGCGTCAAGAACCTAACTTTGCCAAATTTGTTAAGATGATGACTATGGATGACATGCATGTGTTCAAACATTCAGCACTCACAGGCAATTATCATTTCTGGTTAAACTGTCACTCTGATGTATTCTTGCACTTTGACTAAAGTAAAAAAAGCAAGTTTCACATTGACCAATTGAATTTTTGCTAAGCTCTGCATTCTTGCTATATGCCATATCTGGCTCATTTGGCTCTTTAATAATTCATATCAATGGTAATTTTACAATCTTACAACAATTATACTAGCATTCCAAAAGTGTGGGGTTAATGATCGTTTTTATATATATATATATATATATATATATGTTTTTGAGAGAAGTTTCTTATGCTCACCAAGGTGCATTTATCTAGACAAATATTATTACAAATTAAAATAACTGTTTTCAATTTTAATACATTTTAAAATTATGGTAAAACATTGCTGCTATAGGGACAAACTAAAGAGTGAAGTATGTGAAGTATTTTTTTAAATCATTAAATCAATCTTTACAAGTGCATGATGTGGATTATAATCATACCATTGCACTCACCTAAAGGATTATTAAGAACACCTGTTCAATTTCTCATTAATGCAATTATGTAATCAACCAATCACATGGCAGTTGCTTCAATGCATTTAGGGGTGTGGTCTTGGTCAAGACAATCTCCTGAACTCCAAACTGAATGTCAGAATGGGAAAGAAAGGTGATTTAAGCAATTTTGAGCGTGGCATGGTTGTTGGTGCCAGACGGGTCGGTCTGAGTATTTCACAATCTGCTCAGTTACTGGGATTTTCACGCACAACCATTTCTGGGGTTTACAAAGAATGGTGTGAAAAGGGAAAAACATCCAGTATGCGGCAGTCCTGTGGGCGAAAATGCCTTGTTGATGCTAGAGGTCAGAGGAGAATGGGCCGACTGATTCAAGCTGATAGAAGAGCAACTTTGACTGAAATAACCACTCGTTACAACCGAGGTATGCAGCAAAGCATTTGTGAAGCCACAACACGCACAACCTTGAGGCGGATGGGCTACAACAGCAGAAGACCCCACCGGGTACCACTCATCTCCACTACAAATAGGATAGAGAGGCTACAATTTGCAAGAGCTCACCAAAATTGGACAGTTGAAGACTGGAAAAATGTTGCCTGGTCTGATGAGTCTCGATTTCTGTTGAGACATTCAGATGGTAGAGTCAGAATTTGGCGTAAACAGAATGAGAACATGGATCCATCATGCCTTGTTACCACTGTGCAGGCTGGTGGTGGTGGTGTAATGGTGTGGGGGATGTTTTCTTGGCACACTTTAGGCCCCTTAGTGCCAGTTGGGCATCGTTTAAATGCCACGGCCTACCTGAGCATTGTTTCTGACCATGTCCATCCCTTTATGGCCACCATGTACCCATCCTCTGATGGCTACTTTCAGCAGGATAATGCACCATGTCACAAAGCTCGAATCATTTCAAATTGGTTTCTTGAACATGACAATGAGTTCACTGTACTAAAATGGCCCCCACAGTCACCAGATCTCAACCCAATAGAGCATCTTTGGGATGTGGTGGAACGGGAGCTTCGTGCCCTGGATGTGCATCCCACAAATCTCCATCAACTGCAAGATGCTATCCTATCAATATGGGCCAACATTTCTAAAGAATGCTTTCAGCACCTTGTTGAATCAATGCCACGTAGAATTAAGGCAGTTCTGAAGGCGAAAGGGAGTCAAACACAGTATTAGTATGGTCTAGGGCTGTCACTTTTGTGAAAAAATCCTGATCGATTTTTGAGACATAAATGTTCATTGAATCGATTGAAAAATCGATTTTCCATGTCTAAAGACGTTTCCATTTTCAGCGCCAAATATAGGCAAATCCACGGACAACTAACAGGCATTAGGACGAACGTAAAGAGTGCGCTTGAGACGCGCACAAGTCAGCAATATTTCTGATGATTTATTGGCATGAAGTTTCGTGCACAATGACAAACAGGAGTGCAAGATTCTTTAAAAACAATAAGCAGAGTGGACTGCCATAACATCAATGAAAAACATAACTGCAGGCTTCAACATGGCTGTGTTTACGATTAGAAACAAATTTCACCTACGTAGGCGATTGTAGGCCGAATCTGTATCTGTATGCATGACTGTCTGAATACCGGCAGAATTCACATTTTTGTTGTAAAAAGAGACACATTATGCAGAAGTATAGTATAGTTTGTATGTGTGTTTGTCAGAGCCTGCAGTTGCTGTGTGACCCGTGCTCGCTGCGGGCGTGTCGTGACGAGCTGGACGCGCTCTGAGAGAAGGCCGTTAAAATCAATTCCCTATTTTCGTTTTCGATACTTGTGTTGGTTGGTCCGATCGATTGTGCAATCGATTTTCGAACGTAAAGTGACAGCCCTAGTATGGTGTTCCTAATAATCCTTTAGGTGAGTGTATATGATGTATCATTCCCAAATGAACATGTATGACATCAATATGGACATCAACATTTGGATGATGCAGTTCTATTTATTTAATGTAATGAGTTATAAAATGTAAAATAAAATATGGCTTTTAGCGGTTCCCTTGATTCAAAGTCCCATCAGCTTTCAATCATGTTACTGCATAATCTTTTTTTTTAAAAGATGGCAGATAAAAAATGCTTTACTATATCATACTTCATTCTATTTTGCGTAATATCAATTGAAATTTTGCATATTTATGAGCACATTTCAATGAATCACACCGAGCAAGTTACTGAAACCGGGTGGGAGCTTAGCAAGGGTCAATTATATCAAATGTGCTCTGAGTCCTTAGTGTACGAGAGTATCTAGTATGCTGTAGTACTAGTGAAGTGGGGACATCATGGTAAAGTGTTTGTGCTGCTGGTTGTTCTCTGAGAGACAGGGTCAGTGTAACAGAAATGGAAGGAAGGGGGCTCTCCATCAAAAGCAGGAGTTGAGAGTCAGGCTAAATGAACAGCCAATTGCAGATCAAATGCTTTGTGAAATGAGAAGGGATTTGAATGGTGTTGTGTTTGGTTTGTAAATCATTTTTTCATGCTATTTTTCCCCCTCCAGGGCCAATTTGAAATATTATTTGTAATGAGGCAGCTTTGATCAATTTGACAATTACTTAAGTTAACTAGTAGTCAATCATACACCCAATTTCAGTTAAATTAGGCAACAGAGATGCTTTTCACATCCTATGTTTCACAGTTATCTCAGCTGCGTCATGACTGGATCATTAATGTAGTACAGAAGAGGTGTGCATGAAAAGGATAGGCCCTTTTCATTGGCGGCTGTCTTTAAAAAAAAAAAAATCCCCCGGTATGGTTTTGGTGGTCCTTGTCGTTTGCTTTTTTTTTTTTTCTCGATCAGTTCTAGCATGCTGTAACTGCTGAATGGGCATGCAGAGAGATCAGCTCTATAGCTTTGTATCTTACCCTCATCCCTTCAAAACGTGACAATGCTCTGAGGGGTCTCAGGGCCCTTAGTGTCCTGAGTGATTTAATGGGCCCTAGATCGGAGTAGCCCAGCGCATTAGCTATAAGGCTGACTATAGACACCTACACAGAAACAGAGAAGCAAAAAAGGATCCATACTGTTAGACGGGAGAAAGCTCTTGAGGGAAAAGATGGCCTCTTGAGCTGCTGGAACGTTGGTTTACACACATACACAACAGTTCGGATGGGTATATACATATATAACACTGCATTTATACATGTATATATCCCCAAGAAGGAGAGAGAGAGAGAGATTGAAAGACTCATGTTTAGTATTGGTTACAGGTAAAGATAGGGGTTCAGAGGCAGAGGATAACCCCAGGATTTTGCGCTCTGTTAGTTTTGGGAAGTCACCAACCCTTTTGAGCTTCCTAACACCTGTGGAGAAATTTGTGGTTGAAAGAAAGAGACAGAGAGAGAAGCATAAGACTCCAACACAAGAAGACAGAGAAGCGCAAAACACAAGGCTGATGAAGTACGTTAGGAGACCTTGGGGATGTGGGGGTTGAGAAGATAGAGGTGACCCCTGCATATGCATTAAAAAGAAATCAACCCAACATACTGCAAGAACCTTACCCGTGCCCTTCTAACATTGTCTCTCCATGTGGCTCTTGGCTGAGGCATTAAATCCCATTTAATTTAAGACAGAAAAACTAATGGAACCTGTGAGAAAGAATACAGGTAAACATGTGCATGTATGCCAAATTGCAAGTTACATTGATTTTACTGTTTAAAGAGCATCACATTGACACAGTAACGTGACAGCGGAGGGGGAGATCAGGGGATCGCAGATAGTAAATGGACTTTAGACAGCACTCAAAGGACAAAAATCACTCTGCGGGAACTCAAGCCCTGGTGAATCTCAAAATGCCACCCATTGTGGAAAGGTAAACGCCCTCCAAGCTAGCAGAAAGGATAAAACGTACATGAACGCAAAGGGCAGACAGGTCATATCGGTCAAAATGGCTCTCCAGAGAAACGTATTGATTATTTTTCATGTGTCAAAGGTGTCAATGAAAAGGACTGGCTCAAATAAGATTGTCAAAAAAGCTTGTTATTGATCAGGACCAAAAATCTCGATGGATAGGCAGTGGCATTGGGACACCAGGCTTGAGCACCCCTATGAAAAGGAATACAAACAGACCTGCACACCTCCAACCAACCACTGACGAAGACTTGGTAAAAACACAACATCGAAAGCTAACCAACTCACAGAGGGGATTCTATTAAAGGTGAAAGCTTTATTCTCAATGGCATGATGATATCATGTTCCTTCACCAAAGAAACCACTCAAGCTGACATTTTAGAAACCACAAGCCAAGAACTGGCAGTCTTCAATAGGTTTGACCCACAAGGGCACAGTGTGCATCAATAATCTCTGCACAATAAATAAATCCGCTGTTAAATTATCCTGAAAAATTTGATTGATTTAATGGCATAAATTAAAATAAACTAATTTTTTGTGTCACATATTTAAAAATAAAAAAATACTGATTTTCTCATGAGCTTCTCGTTTTATGCTAGATACTGGAACTTCACAAAATCAGTCCTTTACTGGAGATTCTGTGCAATAAAGCTTTCTCCTTCATCTACAGATCATGTGATCTTTGGGGGTAATTGTCACCTTTAGCCTCAGTCGGAACCCACAAGCACCCCTTTATGGAGGGCCCCGGGGGCCCCCTGAACCGGCTGAGATGGCCCCTCAGTGTAAGCTTTCTTCATCTGCCGGCACTCTCGCTCTGCAAGGCAAGGTCAATGAGATGTGTGGCTGTGACCAAATGAAGACAGGAAAAAAAATATCAACTGAAACGGAATAGATTCAAAACATAAATCAAAAATGGCTGATGTTTTTGTCACTCGTACCATTGTGTGATATTTTTATTTGGGGAAAATTCACATAGTAACTGAAGTTAATAAAGCATTATATTCAAATAATATATATATTTTTGGAATGGATTATAACTCACACACTCCCTTAACATAAAAAAAAAAGCAATCAAATAATAAGCTGTATGGTTGATGGCACAGATATATAGTATGACACAGATTATGGTAAATAATGGCACATATACACCGTATATACATAAACACACATCACAAACACATGCTAGATATGATGCCGGCCCCGTGTGAAAGCCCTCTGAGCATCACACCCATAAAAGCAAAGAACAGTGGAGGAACAGAGCATAGACTAGTCAGGAGGACAACTCACCATCTGCTGCATGTCCTCAACATCAACACATCTCAGCACTACCTCAAGGAAGGGAAGAGCAGGTGTGAGTGGGGAAGGGAGGAATGAACTTTTGATCCATCTTTGGGATAAGGAGTTCTTTCCAACTAGCACAAGTGTTAGTCCAGAAACCCAGAAATAGTCACGGAGGACTATAGCTTCCATCAGCCTCGATTAGGGCTGAGGAATAGGAGCTATTGGACAGAGGGTGGGTATGTATTGTAGTAAGAGCTTGAGGTTTTCTTTTTTCTTTTTTAGCACCGGGATGAATCCTTAGTCAATTGCTGGATGGTCAGATTATGTGTTATGCTGCATTCCATTTCAAGTCAGATGTGGGAGTTTCCTGCTTGATATTTTAAGATTTCAGAACAAAAAAGCAATGCACTGTCCCAATGCTCAGAAGATGTGTGCAAGACATACAGTATTAAGATCCATTATTGCCTTTGTTAGACGTTTTATCAAAAGCAACTTACATTCAAGAAATACATTTGATCAGTTAATGCATTCCCTGAAAATCAAGTCCATTACCCTGATGTTACTAATGTCATTCTCCACCATTTGAACTACAGGAACACTATACCATCCCTCCAGTTTTTCACGATATCGCTGAATACAACGCAAAATCAACAAAATCAACAATCCTGCATAATTCGTCATTTCAACGCAAAATAATCGTTAAAATGAACAGGTCTCACAAAGAATAGATAATAATTATCTAATTGAGTTTTCCCTAATTTAATTAAAGTTGTAAATTATTGCATTGTTCTCACTAGGATACAGATGTGCGCACATGATGTCAGTGAAACAGCGAAAGCAAACTTTTCTCACCTGCCGTCTCACATAAGTTCCAATGACCATGCGAAGCGAGTAAGAAACATGGATGAATGACCAAATAAAAGTAGGATATGTTTGTAAGTATTAAACAGAGTTATTAAAAGTGCAGCATACCACAAAAAATAAAATTTTATTTGCATTTCTGTGGGTGTGCTTGCAGCCTGTCAGTACGTGTGTACCAAATAGAGGGAATGCATTAACGTCACTTCCCCGCCGGAACACGCCCCCCTCAGCGGGACTGAGTGGCAGAAGAGCTGCTGCGTGACTGGAGTTAATAGGGGAAACTGCGTTAACGCGAGTAAAACAAACTATTATCAGTTTAAACTAAAAGTTGGACTCGATATAGTGTTCCTTACAACTTATTAAAGATCCAGTGATCCATGGATATTGACATGCAGCCAGGAATCGTGTTTCCTGACATTTATATGTGCCTGATTTCGACGCCGGGGAAATAAATGAAGACAATTTGCCTGTAAACGTTTTATATAAATACAATATAGATAGGTCTAAATCCGAGTGGTCACTTACATTAATGTTATACTGTATATCATCATATCGTGATGATCTAAAACTTGTATAGTTTTTTGTCAGTGTTTATTTAAAAACATCCAATTATGCAGAATATAGTCTGGTCTGTAGCTTTTTGCAGTCTGTAAAAATATACAGTACCTCAGATTTCTGGTCAAATCTAGTTGTACAGTCAATCGCAAAGCTCTTTCCCGGTTTAGATGTGTTTTGTGTGATTTTCACGGCATTCACGCTGAAAACAAATGCTGCCGCTCAGTCTTTTTGCCACTTGTGGGCGTGACCGCATTCACTCCGGCCGACGGTGACGTCATGCGCATACCCTCTATTGTGTTCTCTTTGTAGGCTCATTGCGCTTGAATGGTCAGATACACACATAATTATGCCAAAATGTCCGTCTTGGTGGTTATGTCTTAAAGGTAGGATAAGCAATTTTATAAACACTTTTTGTTATTCTGGTTGAAACTCTCTTCACATCCTGATAGCAATCAATAATAGAAGTGATCTAAACATTAAAACATTTTCATATATCTTCTGTGGAAGCCTCAGGAACAAAAAATTTTCGTCCAATCAATCCATTCAGTCCTACCTGTGTGTCAGCCTATGTATTTCTATACCTAGACATCACACGTCATCAGCGTGCTCCATAAGGCTATGCAGAGTTGTAGACAGTCCCTGAGCAGCAGCCGCCTTCTACAGTTCCTCCAGAACCAAAACAACGAGCTTATGCTGTGTTCATGCCATGTCGTAACCGTAATTATAAGATGGTAACCCGTGACGTTTTACTCAGAGCTGTTCACATCCTCAGACTTGGATTTATGCATTTCTCTGCCAGCACTATCAATGCCGAAATGAATCTGCAGCAGTCAGGTGGTAGCTCAGGTCTGAGCTCTGTAAGTTGTTTACGTTCATTATTATTGTAATGTTGTAATTTGGAGAGAGAGAGCTCTGAAGTGAGAGTGTGATCTAATGTTTTCAAAGCTCGCTTGCTATTGCTTGCCTCTCCAAAATTGCCTACCCCACCTTTACGGGACCAAGCAGTTTGGGACACTTGTCAGTATTGGATCCGTACATTACTGTAAGTCTTAAAGTAACAGCAACCTAATATAGCCGCTGCTGTCTGTGTCGTAAATGTTAAACAACAACATGGAAAAAACAAATATGTTGTATTTATTTGTACTATTGTCATTTGTTTCTTTGTTCTCAGTTTTATTACTTGCTGTTAACTTCATTACTTAAATAATTACTTGAGATCTTTTTGTACCTGGGCTATATTAGGCTAAATATTAGTTGTTTTTTGTGGTTTGCTTAAAAGATTTTGGTCATATTGCCCACACTGATCATGTTATTAAAGCTAGATAGTACAATGTTAGACTAGCCTAGCTAGCTAATAGCCAAAACATTTTGAAGAATTATAATAATATTATTTTTTCCTAGTAGGAATTTCAGACTTTCCGAGTTAGAATGAAATGCAGCATCAGATATGATTTAAGGACCAGGTTGTGTGTGTGTAAGTATATTTGCAAATAAATAAATTTAATATTTAATTATTTGTTAATGAGTCAATTTCTCTTTTTATAGTGCTAAACAACAGATTTCCACAATCAAGCTTTTTGGAGCTTTTATATGCTTCTGGAAAGATTTCAGGTGGACGAAAACGGTTTGCAAAAGGAATTTCACATCTGATGACTTTTAAGGACATATAATGTAAAAAATAATAATTTTAAAAATCAGATATACTGTGTATGCATCTAAAAATGTTCCACAGCAGCTCATTAAACATTATTAGGTGTACGAGTTCTGCTAAAATGTGGTTAGTTCAGGAACAAGGTCAGAACACACATACAATCAATTTGTATCTTGACATCGTCACTGCAATTGTAACATGTCCTCCACATATCATGAGAAAAGCACATCCACATCACATTCCTCTGAATCCCTTAGTATGGAGTCCAAGTGTGAGCATTTTAGTCACATAAACAGCTTAAAATGTTTCAATCAAATACTTTGATTCATAATTTAAATTAACTGATGTTAATTTAAATTAAATTAACATCAGTCATTTGTTATGTAAAATATTATGTGTTTATGGAACAACTGATTGCACTCATAACTTATAACAGACTCTAAAATGCAAATTACACTTGGTGAGCCTCCCACAATAAGGGCAGGGTAGAAAATGAAACCAGTCAGAGGCCACACATATCTTATTGTTCACACAATATAGACATCATACACATATGTACAAGAATTGGAAACAAGGTTAATTTAGAATGAGAACTGCTTGAATATCTTAGATCAATAATCCTTGTTATTGATAGACTGATTCTGGCTAGTAATTTCCATTCGAACATTTAAACCATACAAGGATGGATATGGCCTCTGTTATTTTTACAAAAGGAACTCACTATTGATTGCATACAAGGGGGAAGATGAAAAAGTATAAATATTTGCACAGTACTGGTGATTTTTAAAGCCAGTTTTATCATTCTTGATGGCAGATATTCAAGCATCTCAGGGTCACGCAGAAATCTAGCATTTTTGCATGGCTATGCCTGGTGATAGATCTTAAAGAGGTGATGTAATCTTAAGAAATAACACGATTTAGATACAAAGAATATATATTACATAAGCAGTTATATTCAAGATAAGCACACCATTATTCTTGTAGCTTCATCTCTGCATAACAGCTTCACTATAAAATACCATATTTGACTCTTCTCTGCCCAAAACATTCACATCTTGTTGAAAAATAAAGCATCCTGTTTTTGTGTGTTTTTTTAACCATATAAGACATTTGTATAGAAACAGGACAGTGTGCAGATTTGTCATTTCATCTCCCCTGCTACACCATTTTATTTTAAACTGACAGCTCAAAGAAAGTATTACACCAGTGTTCAGCTATTTTTAAGCCATCTTTTAAACTTACCTTGCTGTGACTGGCAAACGTTATTGTGAGGTCAATGAATATGCAGTCTTTATACTGTCTGAAATGCCACAGAATGTATTTTATCAGTTTAAAAAAGCTCCTAAAGTCCCCTAAGACAAGCCAGGTCACTCGACGACCATATACAGGTCCTTCTCAAAAAATTAGCATATTGTGATAAAGTTCATTATTTTCCATAATGTAATGATAAAAATTAAACTTTCATATATTTTAGATTCATTGCACACCAACTGAAATATTTCAGGTCTTTTATTGTTTTAATACTGATGATTTTGGCATTCAGCTCATGAAAACCCAAAATTCCTGTCTCAAAAAATTTGCATATCATGAAAAGGGTCTCTAAACGAGCTATTAACCTAATCATCTGAATCAACTAATTAACTCTAAACACCTGCAAAAGATTCCTGAGGCTTTTAAAAACTCCCAGCCTGTTTCATTACTCAAAACCGCAATCATGGGTAAGACTGCCGACCTGACTGCTGTCCAGAAGCAAGAGGGTAAGACAGAAATAAATTTCTGAAAGAATAGGCTGTTCCCAGAGTGCTGTATCAAGGCACCTCAGTGGAAAGTCTGTGGGAAGGAAAAAGTGTGGCAAAAAACGCTGCACAACGAGAAGAGGTGACCGGACCCTGAGGAAGATTGTGGAGAAGGACCGATTCCAGACCTTGGGGGACCTGCGGAAGCAGTGGACTGAGTCTGGAGTAGAAACATCCAGAGCCGCCGTGCACAGGCGTGTGCAGGAAATGGGCTACAGGTGCCGCATTCCCCAGGTCAAGCCACTTTTGAACCAGAAACAGCGGCAGAAGCGCCTGACCTGGGCTACAGAGAAGCAGCACTGGACTGTTGCTCAGTTTTGCATGTCATTCGGAAATCAAGGTGCCAGAGTCTGGAGGAAGACTGGGGAGAAGGAAATGCCAAAATGCCTGAAGTCCAGTGTCAAGTACCCACTGTCAGTGATGGTCTGGGGTGCCATGTCAGCTGCTGGTGTTGGTCCACTGTGTTTTATCAAGGGCAGGGTCAATGCAGCTAACTATCAGGAGATTTTGGAGCACTTCATGCTTCCATCTGCTGAAAAGCTTTATGGAGATGAAGATTTCATTTTTCAGCACGACCTGGCACCTGCTCACAGTGCCAAAACCACTGGTAAATGGTTTACTGACCATGGTATTACTGTGCTCAATTGGCCTGCCAACTCTCCTGACCTGAACCCCATAGAGAATCTGTGGGATATTGTGAAGAGAAAGTTGAGAGACGCAAGACCCAACACTCTGGATGAGCTTAAGGCCGCTATCGAAGCATCCTGGGCCTCCATAACACCTCAGCAGTGCCACAGGCTGATTGCCTCCATGCCACGCCGCATTGAAGCAGTCATTTCTGCAAAAGGATTCCCGACCAAGTATTGACTATTGAGTGCATAACTGAACATAATTATTTGAAGGTTGACTTTTTTTTTGTATTAAAAACACTTCTTTTATTGGTCGGATGAAATATGCTAATTTTTTGAGACAGGAATTTTGGGTTTTCATGAGCTGTATGCCAAAATCATCAGTATTAAAACAATAAAAGACCTGAAATATTTCAGTTGGTGTGCAATGAATCTAAAATATATGAAAGTTTAATTTTTATCATTACATTATGGAAAATAATGAACTTTATCACAATATGCTAATTAAAGGACCTGTACAGGTAACGCCCACTGCAGATAATTTTTGATGTAGGTAAAAGACATATAGCTCCTATCTACTTAAATGGGAAAAGACAGAAATGTCCAAAGTTGTTTGTTAACTTAAATAAGTTAAATAAAAACTAAAATCATGTCAGCTAAAATCATGTTAAGTATTTTCTGTCTGGTTCAGTTAGTGTGCATGTAAAAAAAGAAAAAAGAAAAAAAAGAACACTAACAAAAAGGCATTCTTTTAACTGAAAGGTGGGCCTTTAATTCCTACTCTCTTATTCTTCTTTTATTTCTGCTTTTCTGTGCTAATATACTTAAATTACACTTTTCATAGTATTACACATTTTACAATCAGACAGCAAATTCATTAACAGAAATGAGAATCATACAGCTCATTAATCAAGAGTTTTTAATCGTTAACTTCTACTAGCTCCCAACCACTTTCTAACACATTTTAAACTAGCCTCAACACAAAGTGACAACAAATCTCTCATCTCTCCCATGTAAAAAAAAAGAAAAGAAATTAATCCCTTTTAATTTTTTTTGTCCAAAGCAGCCATATTGTGTTTCACGTCACGCGGTGTGGCCCCACCCATAGTGCATTGTTGCAAAATCTCGCTTCACAGAGCTTTATATTATAAATTAATATTTTCTGCTTGGCACTGCATTTTGCTGTTCCATTTATGGCTCAATTTACCACTAGTCAGATTTTGCTTTTGGCAGGATGGGACCCATCAACAAGATGTGTATGTCAAGGGCATTTAGTAAACAGACAACAAACATAGCACGATTGAAGTAGTAGACTTACGTCAACAATGAAGAAGTCCAGCCAGCACCAAGCGTTGGTGAAGTACTTGACAAAACCGTAGGCTACCCACTTTAACAACATCTCCAATATGAAGATGTAGGTAAAGACCTTGTCAGCATACTCCAGAATGATACGAATAGTCTTCCTCTGTTCAATGTACACATCCTCAAAAGCCTGCAGCACACAACATATGGATGCATTAACACCACAAGTACTATCAACTGCTCACAATACCTCTCAGTGGAATTCATTTCAAATGAACAACTAAAATCTAATGAAAATATAATCTCTTAAAAGAAGAGAATTAGGTAATACTTAAGTTAAAAAGGTAATACAAATAATAATAAAAAAACAATAACACAATTTTAATAATAATATGCACAACAATATCGGGAAAACAACTGAACAGAAGGCTATTTTTTGCAATAATTCAGTTAAAAACACAGGTTAGAGTCAGCTTACAAAATGCATCTGTATAAGGAATGGTCGTTGATTTTATTACATTCTTTTTTTGGCAACATTAGCTGTGCTAAAGACAGGAACATTTCCAGTGCCAGAAATAGATCCAATTGGATGAATAGTACAGTCCATTAATCACATCACCCAGCTCTGGCGCCAGGTCTCTAACAATGCCTGCTTGAACTTCACATTAACCTCAACTGTATATTAATGCAGTGGTCAGATAGAATCCAAAATATAGTGTAAATAAGTTGCCACAGGAATTTACTTTTTTTTTATTTGTTGTCAAGCACAGTCAACTACAGTAAATCATGCAATATTTTTCAAAGTACACACTCCAGTATCGTTCCATGTGTGTACGGAAAATGACTTAATCCTGAAAATGCGATGATTGACATCGTCGTAATAATTTTTTTTGGCATCCACTATTTTTTTAAACAAAAGTAATATTACAGCTACCAGACTCGTTATGTTCTGCAGTTTTAACAAAACCACCGTAGGCAGAGGCGTTGTGTTTTGATTATGTTTGGAAGGCTGCTTTGCAGCACGCTCCCTTGAAGTGCATTTTTGGGATTGTTGTTTGGTCTTGGCTCATAAAGTAATCAAGTTTATGTGCACTATTAAAGTGTGCAGGTGTGGGTCATGATATTTTGGTATTGGTTTCAGTATAAAGCATTTTGGTTTATTATGGGCTTGTTCTTGCTTGCTGATCTGGCAACATGAACGAGTCAATGTTCACACCTATTTCCCTGTGACCTTCTTGCACCACGCATACAGAAAAGAGACATATGTCTGACGAGCATTTAAATAAATCATTAACAACTAGTTGTTCAGTTCGGTTCAGTACACAAATTTTCTAATTGTTAATGCGGTTGTCAATACCTGCATTTTTCGGGAGTTAATTCAATTGTAGAATGCGGCTGTCACACTGCCCAAAGTATACTTCGGCCGTCCACGTCCATGTGACGTAATTTTAGTGGAGGAGCCCAATTTTTGTGACTGTGGGGACAATGCGCGCACAACAGTGCAAGTGCGAGTGACTTGAGCGCTTTGAAAACAAATCCACTAGACAATGTGTACATGCCAAACGTGTCTTTCCGCACTCACGGCCAAAGTTGTATACTTTGAAAGGATCGCACACTCGACTGTGCGTGAGACGGAGTGGAACATGGAAAATGAAGTATACCCGGGCCTTAACTTAGTGAACTGTGTGTACAGAACAGGATCAAGCACTAAAAAGTGAACTTACAACCAAATTTAGCTGTATAAAGTGCATCCGGAAAGTATTCACAGCGCTTCACTTTTTCCACATTTTGTTATGTTACAGCCTTATTCCAAAATGGATTAATCATTATTTTACTCAATATTCTACAAACAATACCCCATAATGACAACATCAAAGAAGTTTGTTTGAAATCTTAGCAAATTTATTAAAAATAAAAAACCACATGTACATAAGTATTCACAGCCTTTGCCATGACAAAAAGTGGAAAAAGTGAAACGCTGTGAATACTTTCCGGATGCACTGTACAAGGCCTTTAAGCTGTATTTTTCTACTCAATTAATTATAGAACAAAATACTTGTGCATATCCTTATAAGAAAGTTGTGTTTGTGTATATTCTTACCAATGCTCCACTACTGAGGAGGATCATAAAGATGATGAGGGTTTCAAACCAGTTGTGCTCCACAATGAGATAGCAGGTCTTCCGGAGGAACCACCAATTCTTACCCCAGCCCTCCGTGATGGGTACATCACAACACTTGTATCGGGCCACACAAGCTGCAAAATGGCACACATTATACTTATTGTATATTATTTTTTTAGTAAGTACAAATTTACAAACAGAGAAATAATAAAATGCATGAGCCATTTTACCTTCGGTCCAGCAAGCTTCTGGGTCAACGTATTCCTCTACCGCCTCCACCACCACCGCTTCCTCTACCTCTGGTTTAATATCTATGGTGCTGCCCTCTGATGAGCTGATGTCATCCAACTCATCGAGAAAAGAGAGAGGTCACAACAAGTGTTAAAAAAATTTAAAGAGCAAAGCAAAAATACTGCAAAAAAATATTTTGTAATTGGTCTCTGGCACTATTAAAAAAATTAAGCCAATCTTGGTCAGGATGCTCAAACAAACAGAGCAATCAATAACGTGAGTGCTTGACTAATGGAAGACAAGAAGTGTTTGTAAACCAAGCCTAGAAATTATACACTTAACTTTAAGAATGAAACGTCAAGAGTCTGTATTCATATTTCACAATACAATGTTCTTAATGGCCTACATACGTTTGAACATCATTTTGAAACAATATACCACACTTTACTGCAAAAATTTGCAAACACCTCCATTTAGAATCACTGAGCATTTATTCCTGAGACCAAATCAATAACCACAGGAATTACATTTCATTGCATCTAGGGCAAAGCCTGAAAGCATCACAGCATCAGCTCTTTTGCATACTCACTTCTTTGCTGCCCTCTGCCTCAGACTCGCTGCTGAAATCTTCAGTGTTGAGATTCTCAAAGTCAGACTCTCCCACAGCGATAGGCACACATACCGTCAGATTGGGGTTGTGGATGAAGGACATGTGGTCATCATCAATCATGTACTTGCCCACACTACTGCCGATACCACTGGTGGTTCCGTTGCCATTTTTCTGATAATCCATGTCACGACTGATGTCCACACCCGTGTGATTGGCGATGCAGTTCAGCTTCCTGTCGTACATGTCATCCAGAGGCTTGGCCTCATCGGTGACCTTCCTCCTGAGGATGATGTTGACCAGTTCTCGAACTTTGATCTTCCCCCAGGCAATTCCCTTCTTAATGCGGATAACTGCAATCTGCAGGTTGTTCATCTCACCGTCGTCATCAGAAGCTGCCAAGTTGTCTGCGCTGAACGAGCTCAGCAGCAAGGCAAGGAACAGATTCAAGACCTGATCAGCGTGAGAGAAAAGTAGTGTAAAAAAAGTAGTCTCAAACTAATATTTCAGTTCAAAACCTAAACAGCTGCCTTTGGAGCAGTTTATGCATTATTTATATATTGAAGCATCTGAAATGTATTTTATATACATTTCATTAAAAAAATATAATATAAAAATGGTTTATTTATTTTTTCATAATATTAATAAAATAATATTATAATATTAAATGGATAATAAAATATAATGATATATATATATATATATATATACACCATACATAGGATAAATATATTAGGATGAAAAAAAGATTATATTAAGAACTTTTTCATGTATATAATTTCATTACATATATTTTATATCATTAAAATAAAAATAAAATACATATTTCATAATATACATATATTATATTAGCATGTAACACCTTAACATTCAACTCATTCAACTCTATTGAAATGCTTGCAAATGAATAACATTTCAATGATCAGTTATGAGTTATGAAGATGGTTAGGATGCTGCCACACAAGTTATGGAACAGATTTTGTATGTTTATCGCCATATAAGTACAACTCAGCTTAGATTTCACAACAAAAATACATTTTCTGCATCAAAGCACACTTACCACCAGATTCCCTATGACCATGACCATCATGAAGACAATGAGACACATGGCTTGTCCAGCCACCTCCATACAGTCCCACATGGTCTCGATCCACTCTCCACATAACACCCGGAACACAATTAGGAAAGAGTGAAAGAAGTCATTCATGTGCCAGCGGGGAAGCTCACAATCCTGAGAGATCTTACACACACAGTCCTTGTAGCTCTTCCCAAACAGCTGCATGCCCACCACGGCGAAGATGAAGACGATGATGGCCAACACCAGGGTCAGGTTCCCCAAAGCTCCGACTGAGTTACCAATGATCTTTATCAGCATGTTGAGGGTGGGCCATGACTTAGCCAGCTTAAACACTCTCAGCTGTTAAAAGTGACAAAAAGGAGGATTAAAATACCATGAACATTCAGTATTGGTCTTTGAATGTGTGCTGTTGAAAACAAAGAGCAAATTTACGGCACTTATTCATTATGTCTTATTCACTAACCACCCACAATCCAATTTAACCAGACGCTGAATGCATTGAACGAATGTTGCTCTGTATTTAAATTAAATAACTGTCATTCTTTTGAGTTCAAACACACCTCCTTTCTATGTAAATGAGACTTATTATACTCACTATCTGTCTGATGCAATTAACGTTGTGCTATTGCCGCCCGCGTAAAGAAGGTGCTAAACACCTCTTTTACTTAAGAGAGATGCGTTTATACTGTTTTTATTGGGAATTGAAGTAGTAATACATCAAATGATAATAAAATGATGGAAAAGTTATAACTGACATACTGTATATACAGGCATACAGTGTGGTTGACCCCAATTTAAGCAATTCCTCTCTAGGTCAATGAGTTGAGCATGATGCTAAAATTTTTGCTTAAATAAGCATTAAAGCTGCAACATCATGAAAGTAGCAAAAGGTAATTTCCTCTGCGTTGTGATGTACATCCGAGTGAAATTAATTATTGAAAAATAAATACAATATACAGTGCTTAGCATAAGTGAATACACCCATGCTAAAGTTGACTAAAAAGAGGAATAAAAAAAATCATCTTTTGGAAATTGACCTTAATGCCTTAATTAAAAAAATGAGGAAAATGTATCGTAAATGAATAAATGTTCTTCCTTAAAATACAGGGGGCATAAGTCAGGACACCCCTATGTTAAATTTCCATAGAGGCAGGCAGATTTTTATTTTTAAAGGCCAGTTATTTCATGGATCCAGGATACTATGCATGGGGGTCCTGACTTTTGCCCCCTGAATTTTAAGGAAGAACATTTATTTATTTACGATACATTATTCATTCACAAAGAAAATTGGTGTTCTTAAGGGTATTAAGATCAATTTTGAAAAGATGATTTTTTATTCCTCTTTTTAGTCAACTTTAGCATGGGTGTATTCACTTATGCTAAGCTTATGCACTTATGCACTGTATATAGGACATGGACTTGCAGTCCTTCCAGAAAAATGTGGACTTTTTTTGTGATTGTTGCGGGCAAAAATCCTTGATTATGCAGCCCGTTTTCTTTAAAAATGCGATGGAATATGCGGGATATTTATGCAATTTTTTGTGATGAAATTGCGGGAACTTGCAAAAACTGCGGTTTGATGAAAAAGAGAAAAAAAAAGTGATTGCCCCAACACCCTGTTCTCACTAGGCTAGCTACCTTAATGTAAAGAGTCATTTCTTATTACTTCCTATGATAAGCAAGCATACTACATCACAGAAAGTGCTGGAATATTTAAGTTCTCATCTTGTTTTATTTCAGACCTTAATAAACACATCAAACTTACAAAACATTGATGAGTCAAACAAGTTCTGTAGCTTTACAAAAGGAATATGCTACAACTTCTGTAAAAATGAATAAATGAAATATAAAAAAATAGTGTGCTCCTGTTTTACAGCTTTTCGATGATGTTCACGTCGCATAATTACGTCACTTCATAACGTTCCCATGGCAACAGGGGGAAATGGCTGCTCTTTGTGAAGCAAACGCAACATTTTTCAACTTTCTGCTAAGATATATGTGACTTTTTTGCAACGAAAATGCTAGGATTATGAAATCATGCAAAACCCGCATATTTTGCACGGAAATCGGCAATTTATGCGGCGAAAGTGCGGCGTATTTGAAAAAATGTGGCCCCCGCATAAATATGCGGACTTTGGCTGATTATGCTCTGTATCATGCGACCGCATAATCGCGTTTTTCTGGCGGGACTGGACTTGGTTCTCTTCATCAGTTGTTGATTGGGTAGAGGCAGATCTGAATGCGAGCTTTAGTTAACTGTAAAAAAAGGGGCGGGGTTTAAGTCGATTATATGGCATACATCACCAGAGAGAAATCTGATGTTTCACTAGAAGATCGAGTAAAGAAATCTTGATTAAAAATTATATGGTCAAAAAAAGAAGAAGCATATGCATTGATGAATCACTCATAATAAGATGCAACTACAAGATAGGGTGAATATCCATTTCATGTCAAATAATTTTGTTACCTGATTCACATAATTAACAAGCATTACATTATTAAAACATTGAAATTCTGAAGCAATAAAAAGGTTTACCAATCGGAAGGATCTCAGCACAGAAAGACCTTCCACATCGGCCAAGCCCAACTCCATCAAACTCAAGCTCACAATGAAGCCATCGAATATATTCCAGCCCTCTTGGAAGTAGTAGTATGGGTCCATTGCAACCAGTTTGGCAAACATTTCGGCAGTGAAGATACCAGTAAACACCTAGAAAGAAAAAACTAAAATTTAGACGGATTGCTGACAAAAAGACTACTTTGAGATTTATTTAATCTCATTTTGTTAATTTCACATGCCAGACTAATTTATAAAAGCAATCTGATAATCAACCAACTTATCAAAAGGCACTTCATCCATTACACACAAGATCTTTTCTGACATTGCATGACACCTAGCAGTGCCCAATCCTGGCCAACACATTCACAATAATGTCCTGACAAATCAACACAAGACTCTGTGGCATTTAAAGTGTCAAACAGATCATCCTGCTGTCACGGGTGAAGGGTACAGTTAATCACCCTGCAGGCGGGCGATCTGGGGGAGGGAACAAGGTGGCCTTGACTCCAGGAGGCCTGCCATGTGTCTGCACAGCCAGCGAACGTGACTCACGCTGCCGCCTGCACAGCCACGACCTGCTCCATCCCAGTACGCCCCCTGCTACCATGACTACAGAGCGAACACGGATGTACCGAACCAGTTTAAATACTTGCATCATTATTAAACCATGTCAGCAAAGCTGAAATTACATTGAGAGAGGCCTCACTATGAGAGGCATGCATATGATTTACTCCATTAAGCAGGTCACATGACTTGGGAAATAATGATTTGTGGTCAGTGTACGGCACTGCACTGACAGTGAGAATTTATGAGCCCTAACAGTTTCGCCATCACTTGGCTACGTAATATAAAAAGCAATTTGGTTCAACAGTGGGAAAAGATAATCTGCTTTTCTCTACCAGGTTTGAGCTCCAGAACTGTGAAACCACCACCATTTTAGAGCCGCTCATTGATTAGGTTACATGAAATATTTATGCTGGCTCTGCACCACCACACTCAGCCAATAGCTTAGCACTGTCTTTATGCCAGGCATAAAAAATGGCTTTGAGTGTTCCAACAACGTCTCTACAGAGACTACAAAAATATAAGCCATGGGGAGGGGGACCATTTCACTAAGCGATGAAAGAATTCTTCATATTTAAATTTAAAGACTCTCTGGAAAAAAAGGGGGGGAGGGGGGGTATTTTCTAGAGGGTTTATGTAGAATCCTCACCAGGTTTCCGACACTCAGAACATGCTCAAATTGCGGCGTCATAGGGTAATGCTCCATGGCCATAAAGAGAGTATTCAGCACAATACAAATGGTGATAGCCAAGTCCACAAAAGGGTCCATCACAATCAGGTTCACAATCTCTTTAATCCTCATCCAAACGGGGCCACACTCCCAGATAAGAAATGTGTTGGCGAATTTGTACCAGCATGGTGGACAATTCCTCTGAGACTCTTCCAGTTCTGGAAGTAAAGAATACAATTAAGGTAACCATGATAACAATGTTTAAAAAAAAAAGCAAGACATTCCACATTAGGTTTCAAGATGTGAACATACCCTCAACCAATGTGTTGGTTAACGCACTCATCACACTGTTGGCTCGTTCCTTGCGCCCAAACGATGTGTTAAGCTGCTCTATGGAAACCATTAGAGAGCCTGAGAGTTTCTTCTTGATTTCAAGATCAGAATTTGGCTGTCAGGAGGAAAACAATGAGGGTAAACAGACCCATCACAACATTATAGTGCAGCTAGTGGCTGGAAGAAAAATCTTCATCACAGAGCTAGTTAGAGAAAGGTTGGCTAAAAGAAGAGTAACATTTTTGACAATTTACACATTTTGTCCAAAGGAACCATTTTCATTTGAATGCATTAAAGCGGAAACATGCTGGACTATCACAGGAGAGAAGGTAGGGTGGAGATACATTTGTCATTAGTGTTTGTACGAAACATAAGCACGTTATTAACATGCTACATGTTATCAAATTGCTCAAATATTAAACATCAGGATGTATTTGCAATCTTTTGGGCATTTGAAATAGTCAAGTATATGTTTTATAAACTGGGCTTAAAATATCCAGAATGCTGGAAAGCCTATGAATTAGTAACTTATTCAAGTTCATCATATTATAAATCAGCCATTGTCCTCCGCTCTCTTCCTCCCCTCATCTGAAGCCCCTGCATCTCCAGCTTTTAGGAGATCCAGTCAGCATGCATCTGCATGCATTCAGACAAAGAATTCAAGAGAGGAAAAGAATAAATATCATGATCCATTAACCTCATGAAGCATTGAAGATCTGAAGGTAATCCAGAGCTCTTTAAGATTCATTAAGCTAGCAGACTACCATGCTAACTACAATGCTTCAGTATAGATGCAAAAGTACTGATCATCAAAAAAACTATAATGAAGAAACACTAGAAAAATTATATACAACACAAAAAAGGAGGAAAAACAATGAAGAGAACATATGAAAAGAGAATTGAAGGCTGGAGGGTGTAAGCGGTGTAATCATTTCATGGTTAATCACCTTTACATGAATATAAACCAAAATACAATTACAAAGGACAATGAGTTGACATGTACGTTAAAAAGAACACATTAAAAACTTAAAATGAAATGAGAGTGGGAGTGAATGTGTAATAAGATGATGATATGAATACCGATTCCCCAAGAAATGAACATGACTGCAGAAATCCTGCAAAATAACTACTAAAACGTTTATTACCATTATAGAGTTTGGGCTCAGTAACATTTTTAAAATAAATTAATAATATAATTCAGCAAGGATGCATTCAGTTGATCAAAAGAGACAGTAAAGACAATAATGTTGCAAAAGATTTCTATTTCAAATAAATGCATTAGTGTTCGGCAGTGTTGTGTAAACACAGAGCAGCTCTTCCGGGTTAGGGTTAAGGGTTGCCATATAAGTAAAGTAATTTCACAATATTACTGTTTTTACTGTAGTTTTGATCAGGCTTTCAAAAACAATAAAAAAAATCTTACCAACCCAAAACCTTTTAACAGTAGTTTATGAAACACCTGAATCTTAGCATTCATACAGTGAGGTGTATCTATAGTTAGCAGCTTGTTCACTAATTCCAAACTGGCATAAAAGGGCAGCATATCACACAGGCTTTGAGAGCAGTCCTCAACTGAAAGAGAGCTCATTTTAGAGCAAAGTCAAAATAACCATTACACAAATGCATCAGAAAGAGCCAAACAGAGAGAAAGAGCCAAGGTTTAGAGATAGATGATGCCCATGCCTAGACTGATCTACTCTTAGACTTCCTTACGCTGTCATCAGTGGCTGCCTTATCTATTATCACCTCAGGCAGTAGGCGTCCGCCAGGCCCCGGCCCGATGAGAGAGACCACTCCATTGCAATCCACAGTGCTGTTGCGCTTGCCGTAGTAACCCGTGTAGCTGTTGCGACGTTGCGGGCTTAAGAATGAATCGCGCCTCTCGTCGTACTCCTCAACCGTGCTGTGCTCATCATCTGCAAACTCATTCTCTGAGCCTCCGTCCTTACAGCGGCTGAAGATGCTGCTCTTACTGTTGCGTCTTGAAGGGAATGGTGAGCCTGGGATACTGAGCAGAGACTGGAGGCAAGGAAAACAGAGTGAAATCGGTAAAATGTTGACTTGGTAACACTTCATTTTACAGTGTGCCTCTTACACATTTTACACGTACTATAATAACAACAGTAAATTATGCATAATTACAAGCATAATTACACTGTAACAAGGGCACCTTAAAATAAAAAGTGGAACTGTTGACTTCTTTGGTTTTACACATTTGCTCTCAACAGTGGAATGTTTAACATTAGGCACAAACATTAGGTACTTTATCCATTATTTTTGAAAAGCAAAATGGTACAAGATGGTGTTTTCTGGCTTGTCCCACCTCTAAGGTCTTGACAGGTATTGTCCAAAGTTTAAAATAAAATTACAAAAAATATATATATTTTCTTCCTATTTAAAAAAGAAAATAACACAGTAGTAGTAAATTAATTTGGTATTTTTCTACAACATTGCAATAATTTATTTTTATTTTTTAAATTTATGAATTTATGAAGCTTAGCAATTAACAATAACAAAATAAGTTATTGTAAGAATAAAATGACGACACAAATATTTCTTTCATTTATAATAAATCTTTATGCAATTGTATTTTTATACATTTTTATTAATAATGACCCATTAATGTTGATGTTTATGTAATTTTTTATATTAATTATACATAATTTATACCATATATAAAATTATGGATGACCAGGATACATGCATTTAATAAAATGTATTAGTCATAAAATAAATAATAAGCAGCTTATATAATATTTTGTTGAACGTTTAGTTATTTTTGTATGCTGTTTTCTTCACACACCATTTGTTAAAAAAAGAACTAAATACATTTTTAACGATACACAGATGTCATTCTTTACCTGGTTCATTATGGAACTCCTACGCCCTAAACGGTTGTCAGGGAACCGGAATCTGCTCCTCCTGCTTCCATCATCTGATTCGGATTTGACAAACTTCTCACTGTCCCCTTTCTCCTTGTCCTGCTCTTTCTGCCGCCACTTCTTCTTGCGGTTGCGTCGCTCTTTGGCACTCTTGGAACTGAGTTTAGACATCTCAGATGAGCTGCAGGACAAGTTCCCTCCTCCTTCACCATCATCATCCACCACGTCCTCAGACACCGTCCCCGCCGACGTTGCCATAGCATTAGCCTGCCATCACAAAATGTATCAATCATTCACTGATCTAAATTATTTTAGATTCCAACATAGTCAAAAAAAATGCTCACAATTAAAAATCAGACTTGATCACTAGTGAATAACTAAATGCAAAACAACCATCCAATATACCAGGCAAACATTATACTAGAACACATTTGAAATTGCACAAAGAGGACCCTTATTATTGGCATTGAAACAGTGCCTAACCTGCACGTCCTCCTGATGTTTCCTCAGCGCTTCCAGCATGGCTTTAAACTCCGCCTCCTTTTGCTCCGCCTCTTCCATAGTGGCCTGGTTCTGTTCCTCATATGCCATAGCCACCACAGCCAGGATCAGATTCACAAGGTAGAACGAGCCAACAAAGATTACCAGCACAAAGAAAATCATGTAGGTCTTCCCCGCTGCTCTCAGGGTCTGTGGATGAGGGACAGATCAGAAGCATTTTAAATTCGAGAGCATTCATACATTACTATACATTTTTTATTTTATTTTTTACACACATACACACACTGACGAATTTCTTAACACTCATAAACATAATATTCAGGGATTTTGGCTGTGCTATTTCACTTACATACATGTTGAAGAGAACTTTCTGGAAAAATTCAAATGTCAGTTCATTATTCTGAGAATATTTGACCTACTTGTGCATAGAATGCAAATACACATACAGTACATACATTCATGCATACATACTATTACACAGACTGGTTTAAGGCAGCTACAGGCACCCTGACATGCTGGTGCACAAACAGAAAGACAGATTGTTTGGAGTGAGAAAATTAAAAAGAGAAGAACAGAAAGATAACCAGTAATTTCATGGTTTTCCGCAGTACGGTTGTTTTGCCTGACAAAATAATGAGAAAATACTAAGCCTAACTTATGAGGAGTGACATTTCTTCTCATCAGCTTTAAAAGAACTGCAATTACGTGTCTTCTAGGAACAAAATGCATTCAATAGCTGAATACGGGGTGTATAACATTCAGTTCATTGTGAGTATTAAAACTACTTGTTAAGAGACAATAATGACATTTTATTCAATGTACTGAATTTAATACAAATTTATATAATATAACTATATTATAATTCATTTTTATTTAATAATTATATAATTATAAAATTATATACATTGTCATATTCCTTAAACAGAATAACATAAATATTAAAATTGTGTCTGTTTATAGGGAACAATGTGGAATCTGTTTATATATATATATATATATACATATATATATATTTATACACTCACCGGCCACTTTATTAGGTACACCTGTCCAACTGCTCGTTAACACTTAATTTCTAAGCAGCCAATCACATGGCGGCAACTCAGTGCATTTAGGCATGTAGACATGGTCAAGACAATCTCCTGCAGTTCAAACCGAGCATCAGTATGGGGAAGAAAGTTGATTTGAGTGACTTTGAACGTGGCATGATTGTTGGTGCCAGAAGGGCTGGTCTGAGTATTTCAGAAACTGCTAATCTACTGGGATTTTCACGCACAACCATCTCTAGGGTTTACAGAGAATGGTCCGAAAAAGAAAAAACATCCAGTGAGCGGCAGTTCTGTGGGCGGAAATGCCTTGTTGATGCCAGAGGTCAGAGGAGAATGGCCAGACTGGTTCGAGCTGATAGAAGGGCAACAGTGACTGAAATAACCACTCGTTACAACCGAGGTATGCAGCAAAGCATTTGTGAAGCCACAACACGCACAACCTTGAGGCGGATGGGCTACAACAGCAGAAGACTCCACCGGGTACCACTCATCTCCACTACAAATAGGAAACAGAGGCTACAATTTGCAAGAGCTCACCAAAATTGGACAGTTGAAGACTGGAAAAATGTTGCCTGGTCTGATGAGTCTCGATTTCTGTTGAGACATTCAGATGTTAGAGTCAGAATTTGGCGTAAACAGAATGAGAACATGGAACCATCATGCCTTGTTACCACTGTGCAGGCTGGTGGTGGTGGTGTAATGGTGTGGGGGATGTTTTCCTGGCACACTTTAGGCCCCTTAGTGCCAATTGGGCATCGTTTAAATGCCACGGCCTACCTGAGCATTGTTTCTGACCATGTCCATCCCTTTATGGCCACCATGTACCCATCCTCTGATGGCTACTTCCACCATGTCACAAAGCTCTAATCATTTCAAATTGGTTTCTTGAACATGACAATGAGTTCACTGTACTAAAATGGCCTCCACAGTCACCAGATCTCAACCCAATAGAGCATCTTTGGGATGTGGTGGAACGGGAGATTCGCATCATGGATGTGCAGCCGACAAATCTGCGGCAACTGTGTGATGCCATCATGTCAATATGGACCAAACTCCCTGAGGAATGCTTCCAGCACCTTGTTGAATCTATGCCACGAAGAATTGAGGCAGTTCTGAAGGCAAAAGGGGGTCCAACCTGTTACTAGCATGGGGTACCTAATAAAGTGGCCGGTAAGTGTATATATATATATACACACTCACCTAAAGGATTATTAGGAACACCATACTAATATTGTATTTGACCCCCTTTCGCCTTCAGAACTGCCTTAATTCTACGTGACATTGATTCAACAAGGTGCTGAAAGCATTCTTTAGAAATGTTGGTCCATATTGATAGGATAGCATCTTGCAGTTGATGGAGATTTTTGGGATGCACATCCAGGGCACGAAGCTCCCGTTCCACCGCATCCCAAAGATGCTCTATTGGGTTGAGATCTGGTGACTGTGGGGGCCATTTTAGTACAGTGAACTCATTGTCATGTTCAAGAAACCAATTTGAAATGATTCGAGCTTTGTGACATGAAGCATTATCCTGCTGGAAGTAGCCATCAGAGGATGGGTACATGGTGGCCATAAAGGGATGGACATGGTCAGAAACAATGCTCAGGTAGGCCGTGGCATTTAAACGATGCCCAATTGGTACTAAGGGGCCTAAAGTGTGCCAAGAAAACATCCCCCACACCATTACACCACCACCACCAGCCTGCACAGTGGTAACAAGGCATGATGGATCCATGTTCTCATTCTGTTTACGCCAAATTCTGACTCTACCATCTGAATGTCTCAACAGAAATCGAGACTCATCAGACCAGGCAACATTTTTCCAGTCTTCAACTGTCCAATTTTGGTGAGCTCTTGCAAATTGTAGCCTCTTTTTCCTATTTGTAGTGGAGATGAGTGGTACCCGGTGGGGTCTTCTGCTGTTGTAGCCCATCCGCCTCAAGGTTGTGCATGTTGTGGCTTCACAAATGCTTTGCTGCATACCTCGGTTGTAATGAGTGGTTATTTCAGTCAAAGTTGCTCTTCTATCAGCTTAAATCAGTCGGCCCATTCTCCTCTGACCTCTGGCATCAACAAGGCATTTTCGCCCACAGGACTGCCGCATACTGGATGTTTTTCCCTTTTCACACCATTCTTTGTAAACCCTAGAAATGGTTGTGTGTGAAAATCCCAGTAACTGAGCAGATTGTGAAATACTCAGACCGGCCCGTCTGGCACCAACAACCATGCCACGCTCAAAATTGCTTAAATCATTTTTCTTTCCCATTCTGACATTCAGTTTGGAGTCCAGTAGATTGTCTTGACCAGGACCACACCCCTAAATGCATTGAAGCAACTGCCATGTGATTGGTTGATTAGATAATTGCATTAATGAGAAATTGAACAGGTGTTCCTAATAATCCTTTAGGTGAGTGTATATAGCCACCCTACGGCATCTATAACTTTTTCTTTCTGACTAGATCCAAGGACAATATGTATTGTAAAAAGCTCCAAAGATTTTAGATTTTAATTAGTATGGGGAAGATTCTTAATGAAATAACATCAGCCTCACTACAGCAAAGACAGGTGAGTTTATCACAGATTTTAGGGAAGCTGAGATGAAAGACTGGGGTTTAGATACCTATGCTTGAATTTATTGAAGAATGAACTAGAGCTCAGGATTTATTTAGCATTCTACTATTTAGTCTTTCTAGCTGTCCATTACTGTTCCTGATCCCAGAGGGTTCAGTATGTTTGAGGACATCCTACAGAACGAGGGCTGTCTGCAGCAGCATAAATATTGTGGCACTCCTCCATGCATGAATTAAAGGTATGGTTAACAAAGCATATTAAACTGGATTCAGAGAAACCCATCCTCATAATTGATAATCGTATATTGTTTCCTGTTGTTTACAAATGTAGTATCAAGTGTAAAATGCATGAGAATAACTCAAGCCTGAGTTTATTTAATTTACAATGCTAAATGCAAATATTTAAATTCAACTGACTGTTTAATTGTGTAAAGTTGCAAAAGCAAAATTGAGCAATTTTAATTTCATTTACATAGAGACTAAATATACATGTACTACAATTTTGTTTATTTTTGTTTTCAAAGTAGATTCTTCTATGAAGATAAAATATATAACATTTGATATAGGAAATAATCATTTGGTTAGTAGCAAAATAAGGATATTCAGGGAAAAAGGTATTTAAATGGGGCTAAAAGGGATGAAAGAGGGAAAGAAAATAGACTACGCCCTTACCAGCTGGTACAAGTTCTCCCAAAAGTCCTGCGTCATGAGGCGGAAGAGAGCCAGGAAAGCCCAGCCAAAACTGTCAAAGCTGGTGTAGTCATAATTTGGATTGCGACCAGCCTTCATACATGTGTAGCCTTCAGGACAGCGACTGAGGCAAAAAAGTGCACACAACCCATAATGACCATTCTATGGATTAGCATACAACGTTTGTCGAAGAAGAATCTCAGTGAATTACTTCTGCTATTCTTGATGTTATTTAAACATATGAATGCACAAAGGCGTCTGCCTTCAACTGCAGCTTCTTCGTGTTTTGTCTTTTTTAATAAAGAAGTGTAGTTTATGTTTTCTAAATGTCTATGTTGTATGATTTAAAGTTTTGGAACCATGTTTGGAACCAAACACTCACCCTGAATCAGAGCTGTTTCCACATAGAAGAGCATCCAACTGGTCTGGCAGGAAGTAGAAATTTTCTAATGACAAACAGAGATGTAGAATCGGTTAACTAAACCATTTCGTAATTTTGATCAAGACAATACAATCTTGGCCAATACTGATAAGGCAGAAAAGTGATAAATGGCTGAAATTAAAATTGTATACTACTTTTTTATAAATTAAAAAATTAAAAGACTAAAAACTAAAATCAATTGTTTTAAATGCTAAAAGTGAACATAGGCATCCCAACAGTATAATGTACATGGAAATTCATTTTGTGATTTGCCAAAAAAAAACAAAAAACATTTTAACAGTTATTAAATTATCAGTGTTGGACGATTGTAAAAGTAATCTACTATTGGCTGAAACCAATACACTGTGCATTCCTAACCAATTTTGTAATTTGTGTGTGACAAACTAAACAGAAGCTCACTCTCATTCATGATGTAGACATCCCAGTTGAATGCATTGCTGCCATTGGTATCGGGGAACATGTCTGTGATGTTAATGGGCCAGATGACACACTTTTGCCGCAGATTTCCCATGAAGAGCTGCAGACCAATGAGGGCAAAGACACTGAGGCAGAACACGGTGAGGATCATCACATCTGACAGCTTCTTCACAGACTGGATCAAAGCGCCAACGATGGTCTTCAGACCTATGAGATATTGAATATGCACACACATACACGCACAAATATGCACACAAACACACACACACACACACACACACAGAGGCACAGACAGTTGCATGTGTGCTCAAATCCCAGAAGTGTATGAAAGGAGTCTTCAAGGCATGATGAGAGGAATTTACTTTTTTTTTTTTTTTTTTTTGATGTGAGGCCATGTTGATGTTTCTGATTTGAATGTCTTATACACATATATTTGTCTTATCTGTGGTTCTCAACTGGTATGTCCTGATTGCATGGAACAATGCTACATTTTAACCCTATAGAAAATTATGTAATAGATTTCTTAATTTATTTATTTATTAAATAAAAAAAAGAATAAATGGCCAGAAAGCACAGACCATTGTCAGAATTGCAGTATTATAGGACAATAGAATATTTTAGTTAAGATTTTTAAGGGCCTTTTCCATCTGTGCGATTATTTCCCCAGTATCAGCACTGGAACCGTTTTACACCTACACACACACACACACTCTAAATATACAGTATTGTTGTTGATATCGAAAGCTAAACATCCAATTAAATTTAAACATCATCAGTCATTTTGTAGAAATTAGCAAATTAAGACAGATGGCAACATATACATAATGCTTGGCATGCTTTTATCATAAACAGAGTTTTGGCCTAATGTGTTTTGTGTGATAAATTGCTGACTGCCAACAGTATGAAATCAATTTGATCTGATTGTAAATGTAAAATCTGGCTCCAGAAGCAAAATCAGTTGAGAACCACTGATCCAGATGCTTAAGGATGCACTTCCGCATAAATTAAAATATTTTTAATTGTTCTTTATTTATTTTTCTATATTAAATCATGCCTTGAATCCTTATTTTAATTGATTATGACAACATATAAATAACCGCACCACAAAATACACTAAGTTTATGTACACAGATACTGCTTGGGAGCCATCCCATCTTTTGGTCTATTCAAAATAATTATTTACTATTCTTCTTAAACTTGGTTTTAATAAATGCCTACAAAATATAATATATTATTTCAGGGCATGCAAAAATCAGTCCTGAAACTTTTTTTTGAATTACGGCATTTCAAAAAAGAAGAACTTTCATCGTTCAAGGGAGGGCTCCCAGAAACAGAAAAACCTGACATCCATTTGTCTATAAATACTTCAGCACAACCAGAGGGCAATGACATAGGGAGAATAAAGCAGGCAGGGACTAAGGGGGTGAAGATTACATGCAGGTCATTTCAGCTCAAAGACTGAACAGAAACAAGTCCAGTGTTAAAATCTTCCAGGGCTCCACCAGACATGCTGAACTAAACATTATGAGAACTGCACTGACCCCTCCCAAATTCAAAAGAACTGCTCTATCTTCAAGACAGTAGGATCTCAAATGTAATGCTGAAGTTTAGTATTGATATGCTACAATCCTCTTGCCCATAAACCCCAACAAAACTAAAAAAATCTCCCAGGGCTCAGGGATTTGATGAGTAGGCTTAGGCCTTACTGAAAATAACATCGAAATGATAAATATGACTTGCAGTAAAATCTAGTCAGCTAAATAAATCAACAATCTGTTATTTCACTGAAAATGACTGCATATGATGCTAATGTGTCAAGACGTTAAGCTAAAGGTCTGGCATTTTTGCAAGGCCACTGAAGAAAATAAAAAATTCCCTCCTCTTAAACAGACAAAGAAGAAAAAAAAAATCTCCCTTGACCATCTGCACTATGCTTCTTTTTTCACTTCCAGGTGCAATTTGTGAGTTTCATACAAAATAAAGGAAAAAAAGTGAACAAAAATGAATATTACAAAATAAATAAATAAAAGGCAGCCAAGCACTTAGTAGGCTAATACTATAAAAGCAAGTGACTTCCAAAGCATCATGCAGCATAAAATATGTCCACAAACTAGGCTTGGCAGTCTTCATAAATAAGTAACAAGTATGTTCTTTGGGAACTCACTGAGAGCTATTCAATTTTCATCTTGGGGAACAAAACATAGCTTGTTAAAAATATCTACTCTAGTGCTCTGAGGCCAGGGGCTAGTTTGAAAAGTTATATTTGTATCATGATACATTAAACAGCTAAATTAATGCATTCATACCTTCGCAGTTTGGTTTTTTTTGAGGCTACTGTTCCAACTCTGTTTTAGACAGTGTACCCCTAGGTTCTCCTTTAGACTGAAACATCACTTTATCTAAAGTCTTTACTGTTAAAATCTGCAATAAAATAGAGCCTTATGTAACTCAGAGATCTGCTTTAGTGTTTAGCAACATCTTAACAACAAACCTACAAGTAATATAGTGGCTTGAGTTCAACCCTGTTCAGGGTTTGTTCACAGATATGTTTAATGCCTACATGAAAGAGGTTACAGAGGTTTGGTCACTAAAGCTCTCTAAATCGCTCTAATCTGCTCTGGGACAAAAAGGCTGTAGAAACTAAAGGACTCTGGAGATTGATAGTAGACTGCAAAGCCTATCAAAAATGTATAAGTACCATTTTTGATGATTTTGGAGATAGTAAAAAAAAGCAAATTAAATGGTCTTCTCCAAATTAATTTCCGCTAAAAAATAATGAGAGAGAAGTCCAACAAAAAAGATTTCAAATCGAATAGTTATAGGGGGTCATACTGAAAGTTAACCTCAGCGTCAAAACTGCATCTCACCTGGAATGACAGAGATAGTTTTCAATGCTCGGAGAACCCTGAATGTTCTCAGCGCAGATACATTCCCCAGGTCCACAAACTCTGTTACATATCTGAAATAAGGGAGGATCACACACAGACACCAATGACAACCACAACCACACCAAGAACACCACCACGCCAACGAACCACCAGGAGGTACGTCACTCACAGAGCCTGTCCACTACGGGGGGGAAAGGAAGGAAAAGAAAACCAAAATACACACACGTACACCTAACACCGACCCGACCCCTCCCGCTCTCACACACTCTCTTACCTGGGATTACAGAAATAGTTTTCAATGCCCTCAGAACTCTGAACGTGCGCAGAGCTGAGACATTGCCTAGGTTTACAAACTCTGTTACATACCTGCAATGATCAGATCAAAGTTACATGGAGACATGGTCATGACTTAGTACTTGATGACTTCCATATGCAGATTAAGATGATCTGTTTCTTAAAAGGTTAAATAGCTTTTAGAGGTGGGGGGAAATATAGTGTAGTCACAAATTCAAAATAGAAATGCTGAAATTTTTTATTTATAATTTCATTTAAATAGATGCAGAATTTAAAAAAGTTTGTATTATTATTATTATGTTAAATAATACAATGAATTAGATTTTTTTTGGAGGAAAGTAAACATACTATGGCAATAGTAGATTACATTAGTGATGTCTTTCAGATAGAACACGGAATAACTGTGATTTTAATAATAATAATAAATATTACGTCACATAGTACAAATTAGTGCTTGCATGTCAAATATTTAGTTTTTCCTTCTTCAGTCTAAAAGAAAAAGAGAAAGACATTGCAATGCATTGTAGATATTTGGTGTAACAACACAAACCTGATCGTTTCCCACCCCTAATAGCTTGCATAAACAATTATGCTCATATGGTAATATTATTATAGGATATACAATATATCTCAAATGAAATTGTCTGCTATTTGTATAAAAAAATGAGATCCAATAAAAACAGATAAAATGAAAATGGAGAATGAGAACTAGGAAGGCAGAAAGAGTCAGTGAGTGAAAAAAGTTCTCTGTGTGGGCTGCTGGTAGGGGTGGGCCATATACCGATATAGACATGATTAACTGGTAGAAATCTGTCAACCGCTAGAGATTTTGGACTATTGTTTCTATCGCGGTTATGCTCATGTGACGTTGCCATTCTGCGCCATCACTAAAGCTTATCATTTGAGTGCGTTTTTAGGCCTTACTTCAATTTATGTAGTAGCCTTTTTCTATAGGCCTTTCTAGTGCTTGAAGTTTTTCAGGCAGGTCTATTGTAGTTTTTGTCTTGTTTCTTGTAATTCGTTTCTTTGTCCCTTATCACTGACTGTTTAATTGTCTTCAGTGATCTTGAGAGTTTGTTTTACTTGTTAATTAGGCTAGTATTTTGTGATATTGAAAGTGGTGATGAGATAACTGTATTGTGATGTATATCGTTCTCATGAAATAAAAGTACTCATATTGTGATATCAGATATTGGTCATTTCGCCCACCCCTAGCTGCTGGGAGTCATGTTGATGGTGAATGGCTCTAATCACTGATCTTTTGGAACATCTGAACAATGAAAATTCTCAGAAAGGAGGAACAGAGTGAGTTTTCTGGATTCCGTGCAAGAACCAGGTATAATCACAGCACAGCAGAGAGATGAGGACAAGGACAAATGCAGAGCAGTGAACTTAACAATAAGCAGAGTTGCCACATCCATAAAGATGCTATCTAAAACGTTCATATGGTTAGAGACCGAATATAACACTGAAAATGTGTTGTCTGTGTCCCCCACATACAGTAAGAGCTCAATTTACAAACAGCTTATTAATAAATATTTTCAGCATCCATAATTTAAAAAATGTTTTAAGCAAGTGTTGAGCAAGTGTCCTGACTAGTTAAATGACTTATTTTTATTATTCTTTGCTATTAACCAAATTATAGCTCAAAAAATCAGACAAGGTTCATAGTTACAAAATTACATACTGTAACTAAACTGACGGTTGTTCTGAATTATATCAATCATTTGTTTAAAGAATCATATGAAAGTATATTCTAGAATCAGCATCTTGTAATAGAATTAATAAAAGGGGACACTTATAGTGGATTCCAAAAGTCTGAGACCACATTTAAATTTGAAAAAAGTAAATTGTTGAATAGAAAAAGAAAATCATTTTCACTAGTGATCTTAAGCCGGGTGCACACTGTACAATTTATAAAAGTCCTTTACGATTGTCAGACTGTACGAACATGAGCCCCGCTGTAAGCCAAGTCACACTGTGGGATCTCAGTTGTCTTTAATGTCAGACTGTACGGCAGTCAAGATTCGTTAAAAAAAAGGACACACGCAATACCCATCTAGAGTTTTACATCGTCAATCCGTGACACCTTCGGTGACGGATGGGATGATGGATTGAAATGGTGGCTAGCAAACAAAAACTCTCTCTAGCTTTAATTTTGATCATGACTTGTCTATAAAAGAAATAGGAAATTAAATGAAGATTATGTGTGTGGAGCAGGTGGTGGTTTGTTGATGTCGCACTAATTGCATCATCAGGTTCTGCGCTCCTATTGGTTTTTGATTTGACGGTTGTTGTAGGAGACGCCACACTGCAGGACTGTGCCCCAAAAGTTAGGACAGTGGGCAGAATTTTATCGAAGGTAAAATTTTATCACAATGGTCATTATTCGGCTGTATTTTTTGTGTGAACATATCAAATTAGTGATAAAACACTAAAGATTTTGGCCTAGGATCAGAGGAATATTTTAGGATTTGCAAAAATTTCCCAAAATCATACAGTGCGCACCCGGCTTTAGAGTTTTAAGCGTGATAAGATGTAAAAGTGACCAAATACTTACGCCATTGAGATGACCATGAAATCCAGCCAGTTCCATGGATCTCTAAGGAATGTGAAGCCATCTATACAGAATCCACGGGCAATGATTTTTGTAAGCGATTCAAATGTATAAATTCCAGTGAAGGTATACCTGAGGGATAGAGCAGGAGGTGGGGATACATTTTTAAATTAAGTAACCGGAACTAAATTATGCACAACCAAGCTGTCGATTTATGATTTTGTTGTTGTTGTTGTGAATAACTTGTTTTGAGGCATGCTGTGGTTAGGATCAATACTTACTCTACTTGTTTGGACCACTCGGGAGGATTACTAAAAGTCATGAACACACAGTTGGTCAAAATCGTACACATAATGAACATGCTGAAGACTGTGGGTATCAGTTAAGGAAATTCTGAGACTTCACAGAACAAAAAACAAACATTTTACTTTGTAAATATAAACATCAGGACATTCATCAATAACAGATTGCCAAAACAGACAGAAATTTTTTGCATTTTGGGTAGTTGTAAAGCACTGCTAGGACTTAACAATAATTACATTGAAATATTTTTTAGCCTTATGACATTATTTTATATGTTTTTATAAACATTATATAAGAAGTACAGCCATGGCCAAAAGTACTGGCAGTGACATAAATGTTGTGCTTCGCAAAGTTTACTGCTTCAGTTTTTGTGGTGTTGGTTCACATTGTTTTTAGATTATTGTGCAGGAGTGATCAGATGTATTTTAAATAATTGCAAAAACTCTAAACCTCTAAAGAAAGATGTCCAGCCATCATCGCTTTGCATCAAAATGGCCTCACGTGCAAGGAAATTGCTGCAAAGAATATTGGACCTGAAAGAACCATTTGCCGGTTCATCAAGAAGTTCAAGGGGAGAGGGTCAACTGCACTGAAGGCGGCTTCAGGACGTCACAGAGTGTCCAACAAGCACCAGGACTGTCTCCTACTGAGGATCAGCTACGGAATCATGCCACCGTTAGTGTAGAGCTTGCTCAATATTGGCAGTACGGTTGTAACGGTATACCGGTATATATCATGGTATGACCACGTACGATTATCATACAGTATCGTGCACATTTGCTTATCTACAGTATTGGGGGGGAAAAAATCAAATGGATAATCTCACCTGCGCATAAGCTACTTCTTTCCACTTGACTGCTTGATTGATCGACTGATTGATGGATGGATGGATGGACGGATGGATGGATGAATAAATCGAAAGTAGAGCTGTACAATAAATCAAATCGCGTCATGGGAAAGCGCAAAAAGACTGCTATAAAAATATATAATCTGCTTGTTCTGTGTGTCTCTTTCTGAATGAGCTCTGCCGTTCCCTCTATACTCAAGTACGCGTGACGCTCATGGTGTTTTCAGTGTCTGCCGTCTCACAATACGAGGACGTGAACAGCTGCTCTGAGAACGCTTAAAGAGCATTTTATCATTTTATTTCAGAAAAACCATTGTCAAAATAAAAGTTTGGTTTAAATTGTAAAAATTATGATAGAAATATATTACTACTGTATAATAGATTGTACTTCTCAAAAATAAATAAATAACAACAACAACGCAATTTCTTTAAAACATTATTTAAGGAATACCATTTGTCCGTTTTAATTTAGTAAATCTCTGTGGTACAGCACTTAGCCAAAATGTAATCCATAATTAATCATTAAATATAATTGATTAGACATGTTTTTTTATTATTGAAATTTTAATAAACAAAACAAATGGTTTCAAGTTTGTTATAATAAAGCATTTGTTCACCAAAAAAACTGTTTTCATTCATTTAATGGTCATTTTAACTGATGATAATAATAATAATTGATTTTTTAATACCGTATACCGTGAAATCATGAAGCCATGATCACTGTGATCACATCGCAAAGACTTTTATCATACCATGAAAATCTCATACGTTACAACCCTAATTGGTAGCAGGTGGATGTGAGTGAATCTGCACACACAGTGAGGCGAAGACTTTTGGACAACGGCCTGGTGTCAAGAAGAGCAGCAAAAAAGCCACTTCTCTCCATGAAAAACACCAAGGAGGACAGACTGAAATTCTACAGGAAGTATAAGGATTGGACAGAAGAAGACCGGTGCAAAGTTATCCTCTCTGATGAAGCCCCCTTCTGACTGTTTGGGACATCTGGAAAATTGATTGTCCGGAGAAGAAAAGGTGAACGCTACCATGAGTCCAGTGTCGTGCCAAAAGTGAAGCATCCTGAGACCATCCATGAGTGGGGTTGCTTTTCATCCAAGGGTATGGACTCTCTCACAATTCTGCTCAGAAACACTGCCCTGAATAAAGAATGGTATAAAAAAAACTTCTCCAAATGATACAGGAGCAATTCAGCGATGATCCGTGCATTTTCCAGCATGATGGAGCACCATGTCATGAGGCAAGAGTAATAATGAAGCGGCTCTGAGATCATTACATTGAAATTTTGGATCCGTGGCCATGCAACTCTCCGGATCTTAATCCCATAGAGAACCTGTGGTCAATCCTAAAAAGGTGAGTGGACAAGCAGAAGCCCACAAATTGTGATCAACTCCGAGCACTAATAAGGCAAGAATGGATCGCCATCAGTCAGGATTTGGACCAGAAGCTGATTTCCAGCATGCCAGAGCAAATTGCAGAGGTTATAAAGAAGAAGGGTCATCACTGTAAATATTGACTTTGTATACATTGCATGTTTTTCTAAATCAAAGCCTTTAAACTTACGAAATGCTTATCACTGTTTTCCAGTATAGACTAGAAACATGCGAAAAAATAATCTACAAATACTGAAGCAGCAAACTTTGCAAACCACAAAATTCATGTCACTGCCAATACTTTTGGCCATTGCTGTATAATCTGTTTGTCACAAAATTAACAAAGAAATATTAATGGTTTAATATTTTTCATTAATAAAGTATACCATATAACAATGAACACACATTAGCATAATTTCAGTATTCACAATGTTGTTTAACTTTATATCACCAGCAAAAAAAGAAGAAGTGCTAATGCTAATACAATAACAGGGATTCTTAAGCTCATTTGTGTCATTTATATAGGCAGTTAACAACCACATTAACAATTAAATTAGTCAAATAGTTTCCAGTGAACAGGGCAAAGCATTAGAGTTCAAATCTTTGTGGTATATGTTTGATATATGTTTATGCGTTTCTATGTCAACATCAATGCTGAAATGAATCTGCAGCAGTCAGGTGGTACAAGTCCAAGCTCTGTAAGTTGTTTACGTTAATTATTATTGTAATGTTACGTGCTTGGAGACATGAGGTCATTTAATGCTGTCTCTCGTGCTGCTTTGCAGACTCTGCTCTGTGCGTTCATGTGTTTTGGATGAGGCATGGCTTTTGAGAGAGCGCTCATCGTTCTGAAGGGAGGGTGGGATCTAATGCTTTCAAAGCTAGCTTGCTATTGCTAGCCACTCCGAAATTGTCTACCCTACATTTAACTAAAACATTAGTCTGAAATCCTTAGCGTTATTCCTGGTCATCCCATGCACCCTAGCAATAAGCAGACATATTAAATATTTGATGTAGAGAAAGACAGTGTAGACATACAGTATTTATCATATATACATTTAAACAGCTGAAAAAGGATATGAATGTATCAAAATTTTAATCGCTATTCGCCTAGCAAGATTAAAAGGGCTTATCATGTACAAGGCAGGTGTGGCACTAAAGCGGAAGATTGTTTTCCCTCTATTAAGGACTATAAATGTCTGTGGAGATGAAAAACAGAAACAGCCAGAGAGAGAGAGAGATAAGTGAGAAAAAGACAGAATAACAAAGAGAAAGAGAAAACACTAGATTAGTTGCAAGCATTGAGACACATCATCACTTATTCAACTGGACTTTCAGAAGTAATAATCATGAACTGAAAGTCTGCATCTATTTATAGACGACAAGGCATCATAATGAAGACATATTGCTTTATATACTACTAAATAATTTAAATTACATTCTTTGGCAAGTAGTAAGTAAATCTGCAAGACTGCATGCAAAACATCCACATTGTCTCTGGAGTGCAATAAAGTAAAAAAAAAAATATTACTTAATGTTTATACAACAGTTAGCTCAAGTTCTCGAATTTGATTAGCTGAAAGTGCTGATATTTAGTCCAACACAGCATGGCTGCGATTTGTCCATAAGCATGAGGTGGCAGGATGCTTGAAGTAATAATTCACCCAACAATAAATAAATCCCCCAAAAAAACAACAACAACGTAAGAGTTGTATTTCTGACGCTTACTGGACTGGACTATGAAGTGCAGGATGGTGATATAGATATATTCTAAAACATGCTATATGGTCCATAAAATCCTGATGTATTAAATATTTTTATATTTTGTCTTAAGGTTCAAAATGCTTGTATGAAATATTCTATATTTGAAATAGGAGAAAATATATCTATTAATGTCTCTAATAATGCCAAAGATGAACCCTAGTTGTACCCGGATATCTCACTTCTAAATGAATATGAAAAGTTTGAATTCATATGAACATTTTTCAGAGAATGCTTAAGAATGCGAACGAGTCAGCATAAGCTCATCAGCCTTTCAGTAGATAACCTCATAATTGTTTAAATAAAACATGTTCGCTACCATCAAAGTTTCATGGGAGGTCACATGCATTTGCAGAGATGGGATGCACCCCTGTTCTTCTTTTTACATGCTTGAGTTCAGTTGAACACTAAGAAACCCTTTTCAGCACCATAGAGAGTGCCGAGTCTATGCAACCAATGCAGCACCATACATGTAAGCTGAACATAACGTGAGTAGAAACTCCTCAGAAGAATTTTGAGCAGAATTATCGAAGTTCATAATTTGGGTCATTTCATTTCATTTGGTTTGTTGGTCCACAATAATGATTAATGTTAAAGAAGGACAGCTCAGTAAATAACACTTTGTATATGTAACTAAAGACGGAGAAGAGCTAGATCTAAATTTGGGTCAGACTGAATCAGGCCACCATGTAAACTACATACTGAGACCTGCTTTGAGAAAAAAAAAAATATATCTGCTCACTGCTCAGCAACCCCAAACTGTATGTGAGACATTGGGGATCAACGGCATCTTCTCCTGTGACAACACGACAAGATCCATTCAAAACAGTAGCCCAAACCAGTAGTCACATATGAAACATCATGAGATGAAAAAATAATGCAGAAGTGGTGCATTTATGAACAAAAATACATTTACCCTTTCTCAATATTCTCTGGCTATAGCACATGTGCATGTAGGCTTCCTCTTTTTAATGCATGACAGGCTGCACAGCTACTGAAAATTTCATAATCCAGAATGGAGCAGAAAAAGAAAGATAAAAGAGCAGGAGAAAGACAGCCCAGAGAGGAATGAGTAAGCAGTGAGAGCAAGAGAGGAAGATGGAGAACGAATGAGGAAACAAAGACATTTAAAAGCAAATCGTAAATATAAAAAGAAAAAGAAAAAGAAGAAGAAGAAGAAGAAGAAGAAGAAGAAGAAGAGAGAGGACAAGCAATACAAATATGTAAAACTGGACCCAACCACAGACACTGAATGAAACCCCTTGGTAAATAAAACAATACTGATGGAAAGGCACTATAAAATAGTATTGGTTCACAAGGCTAAGAAATTAAGCAATTTGTATTTCTATAACACCTTTCTAGAGCAAACGTCGCAAAGTGCTTTGCATTCAAATATAAAAAGGAAATCAAAATAAGAGTGACAGACATTCAAAACAGACAAACGGATAAAAATACAGTAATACAGAACAAATTAGACAAAAGCTAAATAAGTGGGTTTTTAGTTGCCTTTAAAAGCGTTCATAGTGTCCACAGATCTTAAATCCAAAGCTCAAAAAGCACAGTCATCATTAGTCTTCTTTAGTCTAGAGAACAAGTCAAATAAAATGCAATTATTCGAGCACTAAAATGAATAAAATGTAAATTAAATGAATAAAATGTATGTTGATGAAAGATGGATAGCTAATGCCTGATTAAAAAAACCTCCACTTTACACGGTTCCATATTAATCACATATATCACAAGAAATTGCAATATATATGTGGTTAAAAATGTATATTTAAGTAAATGTAAATGACTAAAATCAAACATTAACAGTGCTTGTGTTTTTTCCCAAAATAATGCTGTTAACTAGACACTACAGTATGTTCAGTTAAAAACTTTAAAAATATTATTATATTTATTATTACAAATTTTAAATTACATTTATTTATTTTAATATTCCAACTAAAGCTTAAAAAAACAACAGGGAGAGGCAAACATGGAAAAGGAGAAAAACAGAGAGAGATCATGTTACAGGGTGATGCAAAGGGACCAGGAAAGTGTAAGTGATGTAAACAAGATCCAGATGAAGCGCAGAACAGACGTATGGCAGGACACATGCAGAGGAGAGAAGCATGGTGAAAAATGGAGAAACAAACAACAGACAGAGATGGTGACTAATGTAAAGAGAGTGATGAGCAGAGCAGCAAATGGCGAATGAAAAGAGTGAGAAGCTTCCAGAGCTAATAATGCAGCATCTCCCACATCAATAAAAGCTTGTCACATCACAAGGCCAAACCAACAAAAATAAATGAGATGCCTGCATCAGAATAGGAGTATTTCCTGATGTGGAGAGTGTAGATGCTGTGAACAGATGTGAGGGAGGAGTGAGACGGCCATTATACTCAAAATGTCCATCCCCCTGCCTTCCCCAGCCCCCCAACCAGCCCAGCCAAGACCACTCCGAGTGCCGCGCCATCACAGGGAAAAGCGGTCCTACATGGCACATTTTGTATAGAGTCCCTTTAAAGATTTATGACCCAGTGTGGTGTTCTGCCTCTTTCTCCTTCTGTCTCCCCATTCTCATCTTTGCACACCCTTTATTCAAGCAGGACATGCTCCTGGATCAACAACATTCCTTTTAAACCATCAGAGCCCAAACCTGAAGTCAGAAATGTGTACACGAATGTTGGTAAAATCTCAAACATCTAAAATCAGAAAATCTGATTAATTAAAGGTGCTGTAACAGTGCTAAGCTCAGGTAAAATAATAAAATTAAAATATAGCTGCGAATTATCGGGGTTCAAGCGCTTAAGGCCTTTATGCACATGCGTAAAAAGGAATTATGTTTCATTTATCAAGCCTGTAACCACCTACATCAGTGATGGAAAAGACCATTTACAGCCAATAAAGGCAATTTACTATAGAGATATATGTTTTTTAAAAGTTTTTAACAGTTATAGGGCCACCTATGGTCCTATCTTCATAAAAGTTTATTAAAAGAATCATGTCGCATGTGCTCATCGTTTTCGTTTAGGATTTATAGGCTTTTGAGTATATTTTGCCATGTCCATTTTGTAAATGACCCTGTTATACAGTAGCTATCCAAAGAGTTAAGTTCAACATTTTTATTATAATTCTTGACCTATAGTCTAGACTAGAGAATTGTACTGCAGTGGTATAATAAATAAATCCCCCAAAAAAACAACAACAACGTAAGAGTTGTATTTCTGACGCTTACTGGACTGGACTATGAAGTGCAGGATGGTGATATAGATAAAAGACCATTTACAGCCAATAAAGGCAATTTACTATAGAGATATATGTTTTTTAAAAGTTTTTAACAGTTATAGGGCCACCTATGGTCCTATCTTCATAAAAGTTTATTAAAAGAATCATGTGTCGCATGTGCTCATCGTTTTCGTTTAGGATTTATAGGCTTTTGAGTATATTTTGCCATGTCCATTTTGTAAATGACCCTGTTATACAGTAGCTATCCAAAGAGTTAAGTTCAACATTTTTATTATAATTCTTGACCTATAGTCTAGACTAGAGAATTGTACTGCAGTGGTTTTATTGAGGTTGAGCAAAAAACCTAGGACTAGTGAACAAAAGTAGTTTTTTTATTTTATATTCTCAAGCATTTAATGAATGATTTGATTGACAGCAGTGGTTTTTGAGGCAAGGTTGTTCAGAGTGAGGAGATCTAACAAATGATATGCATATTGTGTATATGTGTGAAACACTGCCTGATTACTGCGGCGTAAAATTCGTTAGCGCCACCCGGTGGCCGATTTCTTTTGAATTTCTCACAGGCCTCTAGGGCTGTTAGTCAAACAGGCCCAGCGAGTTTCATTACGATGGGCCTCTGTTAACCTTATCTGACAGCCGCTCGAGCTTCATTGGCCAACGGCTGCCATGTTTTTGCCATGCCATTGCCTCGTAGACAATCGTCGCGGCGCCTTGGACCGCATGCCAGTTTTCAAATCAACCGGACTGTCTGTTGTGTAGCTATAGCCGTTTTAGTGGGGTTTTTTTTCTTCATTTTGTAGCGCCACCAAGTGGCCAGTCGCCGCATCCTTTTTCACGCGACCTGCCCAATCACTTTTAGGGGAGAATGCTGATCCTTGGAAATTCTAACAATTACAATAAGGGTTTCAGCGCAACATGCTTGAACCCCTAATTAAATAGAAAAGAACATAAAACAAAATAAAGTAAAATAGGAAATAACATAAAATTAAATGACTTTACAATAACCTAAAATACAACACAGCACCGTTTAGAATGTTGAAGCTCAATTGGTAGAGCATATCTTGATTGCACTGTAATCACTCTGGATAAAAGAATTTGCTAAATGCATAAATATAAATCAATGTTGGAGACCAAACTTTTCCAACTTGGGTAAATCCTGTTAAGCCTCTCCGTCTCACAACTGATTTGTTTTCAACATATAACCATC